GATCGCCCGTCCCTAAAGTGTCAGCATTGGAACGCCATTTTGATCTCTGCTGGAGTTCTGAGATATATTCCTTGCTCCATCTTCTCCAAAAATGTTGACGAAGTTGTTGGATGCGTTGGTATCGACTCAGTCTACTGCTAGGGACTTCTTCATAATTTTGAGAAGGAAGAGAGGTGATGGGGCGGCCGATGAGGAAATGTCCCGGGGTTAATGGCAGTAAGTCATCAGGATCCGTGGAGAGAGGTGTCAGCGGACGAGAGTTCAGTACACCTTCAATTTGAACCAGCACAGTGTTTAATTCCTCGTATGTAAGGTTACAATTACCTAAAACTCTCCGTAAATGATATTTTATTGACTTAACGCCTGCTTCCCAAAGACCGCCAAAGTGAGGGGCTTGCGGAGGAATGAAATGGAAATTTATATTTTCCTGAGCCAAATTTTCGGACAGTGAGTTGCAATTGTCTTTTATAAAACGACCAATTTCGTTGTATGCGCCTACGAATGAGGTTCCGTTATCGGAGTATATGTGTTTAGGTTTACCGCGACGTGAAATGAATCGATGAAGTGCTGATAAGTAATTATTACTTGTTAGATCGCCTGTTAACTCGACGTGTACAGCCTTTGTCGCAAAACAAACGAAGATGAGAATATACACTTTCGTAACTTGCAACCACGGCCTTGACGACTGGCGGACATAATAGGTCCAGCATAATCGACGCTAACGCTCTCGAAGGGAAAACCGCCGGTAGTCACTTGACCCTGAGGCAGATTGCCCATAAGTGGATTTATAACCCTTCCCTTATAACGGCTACATAAGTAACATTGTCGATAACAATATTTTACTAACTTGAGGCCTCCGATGGGCCAATACATTTCTCTAATTGAACTAATAGTAGACGAGGACCGGCGTGTAAAAGCTTAACATGCATATACTTAAACAATAATCTGATAAAACGATTAGTGGAGTGTAACATGATCGGATGTGTCTTTTCATAAGTAAATAATGCATTTCCTAAACGACCACCGACACGCATTATTTTATTTTCGTCTAGGAAAGGATTAAATTTCAAAATAGTACATTTTGAAGGCAATTTTTTGTTATTATATAAGGTCGTATATTCCTCGAATGACTCAATTTGTCACAATCTAATCAAAGTATTTAAAGAATTATGTAGTTCGTCGTTACTTAAAAATTTACTTTGTACCGGTTTCTTTTTAACAAATATTAATAAATCTTAACACGTAGGCCATAGGACGTTGTAATCTTATAAAATTAGAGAATCTCTCAAAGTCAATTAAAGGTTTTTTTCTGATTGGTAACAACTAAAGAAATCTCTGAGCGAGTTTCTGGTAGCTTATCACTTACAATAGTACTCACACAGAAACGACCGTCTTGTAGACGAGTTGTATTTTTAATAAAATGTTCTTCGCACATTTTCTCCTCGCGGAGAGAACTGATGTGTCATGGCAAACCTCCTCTAGGTGCCAAAAACGCGTCAATTAGGTTTTGAATATCATCGATATTATAATTGTGCGAAGAGACGTTTTCCCTCAAATTTAGTTTTACTAAAAACGACTTAGTGTTAGAAATCGAATACGGTACTTGGCCATTATTAATTAAGGGGCCTGAGACTAGCCATCCTAACCTAGATTCAAAGAGTACCGGCTTTCCGTTTCCTAAACTAATTTTACGTACCCCTAATAGGTCCCAAAAAACATCCGCACCAATAATTAAATCCACCGACGATGGCGTGTGGAAGCGGGGATCTGCTAAACAGAGGTTACTAGGTATGTTAATGTCGTTTAAAGGTATTTCCTGACTCGGTACTTCGTCCGTTATATGAGGCAAAACGAAACAGAAAAGATTAGTATTAAAGTTTTCGTTCAAAGACTTTATAGGCACGCAACACATTTTGCCTATGTGAGACTTAGTTATTAATTCCTAATAAAGATTCGTTGACATTAACTATCGGTAACTCTAATAATTTACTCAATCTTTCTGTAATTAGGCAAGAAGTGCTACCGCTGTCTAGAATAGCGCGGGCTAAGTATTCCTTATTATTGTGACCGTATATTTTTATAAGGGAAGTTGCTAAAAGTACCTGATTTTTATTTCGTAGGTAGGTCGATATACTTGCGCAGACAAAGTGATATTATTATTACCGATATGCTCATCTTAGCACGATGTACTAGGGACAGAGAGTGGACCGTCCTCAGGGCGAGAAGATAAATTGGGAGTTGCCTTGAGCTTCATATCTGAAATGTGAATCAAAGTATTGTGCTTTCTTTTACACACTTTACAGCCACTCGACTTACAACGGTTTGCAAAATGACCAAAACGTAAACAATTATAACAAACCTTAAACTGCGGTAATAATTCTAATCGTTGTTCAGAAGCAAGCCCTAGAAATTTCGAACAATTATTTAGACTGTGCTCAGCTTTACAGTTAGGGCATGGCTTGAAATGAGACATCTCGCTTTTCTCATTTAACCGATTTTGGGTCTTAGTGACTGACACCATGCTTTTAATTTTATTTTTATTTTGGTTAATTTGAGGATTGCGAGACAGTTCCAAAGTTTCTAATAGATCTGCACGATTTTGTATAAATGATAAAAATGACGCAAATGAAATAATTTTGTTATTATCTAAGTGACCTTTGTACTCTTCCCATTCCCGGTATGTCTTTCTATCTAATTTGTGAGTAATAATATGGATGAGTAAGGTGTTCCAGTGATTTGTGGGCTCACCTAATGACTCAAGTGCACGTAGATTTTTACTCACGGAGTCTATCATGCGCTTTAAAGTGAATGACGATTTCTTAGTAATTACCTCAATGTTAAATAATGCCGTTACATGGTTTTGAATTAAAATACGTTTATATTAAAACGTCCACATAATAAATTCCAAGCCACCGAATAATTACTCGCCGAAAATTCAATAGATTGTATTACGACGGCGGCTGTCCCTTCGAGCGACGAGCGAAGATAATGAAACTTGTTGATATCATCGATATCATCATTTGAGTGTATTAAGCTAGAAAAAGTATCGTGAAACTCAAGCCAGTTGTCATACGACCCGCTAAATTTCGAAAGCTGTATAGTAGGCAATTTAACAAGCTTATTATTGTTAATACGTGAAAAATCTTTTTCACTGCCTAAACATTCAAGATTATTTTTATTTTGTCGAATAAGTTCGTGAGCTTTCGAAAGAGTTTTATAATACGTCGATTCGAAATCATTCCGCTCGTTTATTTGACTATTGATATCGTCCACTATACACTCCAATTTCAATTGAACCTCATCGTACTGTTTGTATAATAATTCAATTTTACTTCCGCGCAATTGCAATTCGCTAACCTGAGACGAGCTCAACGTATCCTTTAATTCACTGAGATAATTATTGAATGCCGTTAATCGACCTTTGAAACTTGCCCTCTTTTTAATTAATTCCCTCTCATCGGTCATTTTGAGATACAGGCGAAAATTATAATAATATCTGGAAATTGAACAATTATTGAGAAATTGTCACTAAATATAACGAAATAAAAAATAAAAACACTGCACTGGTTATTTCCTTTTGTTTTTTTTTCAAAATTTCTTTGTCTCCGTCTTCAAGGTGACCCCGGACGTTCCAAGTTGTATATACTTGTTGTAAATCTCTAATCACGTAGATATTCAGTAGATTATAATTTCTCGATGAAAATCCTCAATAGCCGCTGGAATGGGACTCGAAGCTGACCATGGTCACTTGTTAATTCGAGGAGAAAATAAAATTCCTTGATGCCGATATTATCGCCGTGTACTTCGCAATTGACAAGAATGAATTAAAAAATAGGCGGTGGTTACAACTTTAGAAAACAAAAAAAAGAACTAAGTAAAACGTATGTAACGCAACTTCGTGCGTAACAAAAAACAACAGGCGTTTGCGTAGACAATTTTATAAATCAGATTTTCAGATTTAATTAAGAAGATATGGTTTCTTTTGTACTCTTTTCATTTTACCCTTATTGAATATAAAATATATTAGGTACCAATATTCAAAATATAACTTACACTAAGTTCTTTAGACAAAAATTAAACAGAAATAAAAATAAAACCGTCAAAAATGAAACGTATAGATAAACTAGACGCGTGACGCCAAATTAACGGCACATGGGGAAACAAGAAACATGAAACGTCATCAAACGTTATATATATTTTTTAAATAGTATAATTTTATTTACCATGTACAATATTTTTGAGGATCTGAATCCAACCCTGGACTAATCTTGGTAACGTAACTAAACTAACTGTAAAATAAAACTTTAAAAATGCGTGTATATAATAATTTAATTGTAACAAAATTACTATAAGGTTATTTACCGATGATACGATATCCCATGTCTTTTTTTTAAATCTTTGTATCGCGATTTTTGCATTCTTTTACCACGAAAGTAGACATTTGTGACAGGCAAATCTGTCCTGCACGCGCACCACTGTCGACCGATTTGCGTTGGCCCTCAACTGTAATTTTAGGGCCAGCGCACTGGTCCGTTTTAGTTGTTTGGTCGGCCCGGTCCTTACGCTAGTAATATATAAGTCAATGGATAACACACGCTAAACTCAAACTGGACGCTATGGTCGCTCCATATTATATGGAATCAAATAATTATTTTTACTACGTTTCTGGCAACAGGGACAGATTTAGACGCCTGCTATTTATTTCAAATGTTTCATCAATTATTTTTCTCTTTACTTAAAACAAATATCACTATCGAAAACACATAACGATAACACCTAATTTAATTCTACACGTCCGCTACGCACGATGTCTGTGGGCCGCATGAAGTGTACAAGCGAAGTATATCGCGATAAAACGCTTTGATGCTGAAGATTGCCGACAGCGAAGCGATATGCTAGCGACTTCGCACAAAGTATTCACGAATATGTGGCCACATAGATCGCGATAACGCGAATATTCGCCATGTCGCGAAGTGTGTGCGGCATGAGAAACAGTGTACCTGCAGCGGTAGGTGGGGTGCGGAGTCGGCGGTCGCGGGTGTGGGGGGCGCGGGCACCGGGCGCGCCAGGAAGGCGTGGTGCGGGCGCGCGAGGCGCAGGCAGGTGAGCGCCGCCGCCAGCCACTTGCGTCGCGCGCCCGCCGCGCCCTGCTCCGCCGCGCACCGCGTCGCGCGTTCGTACATCACCGCCGCCGCTGCACGCCGCGAACAATAATACAACACACTCACTCATTTTGTACGATTTTCATCTAAAGTAGTAAAGTAAAGTTACAGCCTATATTCGTCCCACTGCTGGGCACAGGCCTCCCCTCATTTCTGAGAGGGTTTTAGGGCAAGGAAGTGGCCGCTGCGCTGCCCCAATGCATGTTAGCGAACTTCACATGTCCACGAAATATTTTTTTCTTATTACTCATGCAGGTGTCCTTACGATGTTTTCCTTCACCGCCGAGCACGTGGTAAATCAGCACTTAAAATTGCAATTAACAATTTCATTGGTGTCGGCGGGGATCGAACCCGGGTTACTCGCGTCCTGTTATATTTTACAGCGAGCGTTAACCATCTGAGCTACCACGGCTCATCTTTATTTTGATTTTATATATGATAAATTTTGATTTTCATCTAATTAACACATAAAAATTAACAGTTAATATAATATATCTATATTATGTTCGTATCCGTCTGCGCCGTTACCGTTAAGCGACTTTTTATGACAGTTTTAAGCGGGATCACAAATTCAGGACTAAGTGCTTTGACGAATTGTATCAATCCTGTACCTCCTGCGTGTAACATATCTAATGCCATAATATATTTTGCAAGTGACATGGTGATTGTTTCTGTCTTAGGATTCTAAAAGAACTGAAAAATTTAAAAAATATATTAACGATATGATTGATAGAAACAATGTCGTATATTTTTAAATGTAAATAACTTTCCAATTTTAGGAAATTTTCAATTTACGACTGTAATATTCTAGCGTTAAACGTCGTTTCTTTTGATTTTCTTGGTGTATCTGAGCTTGATTCATTATCCAAGCTAAACATGAATAATAAATTAATTTAATTTAAGAGCAACATTTCTTACATCAAACATTTAAATTCAATTATGCTAACAACTCAAGAAACTCCCTTAAAAGAGTAAAAGAAAGATCAAGTTATGAACAATCACTCAACGAATCCTACGAAGACCTTATGAACTGCCCAGAAACTAATCCTGTACAAGAATATTATGACACAATAATTAACAAGGCGGAGGTTCGGCCGCACATGGAATACTGTTCCCATCTCTGGGCTGGGGCTTCTCAGTGCCAGCCCCTTCCATTTGACCGATTTCAGCGCAGAGCTGTTCGAATCGTTTGCGAACGAGCTCTTTCCGATCAGATTGACTCACTGGCACTGCGAAGAGACGTTGCATCTCTTTGGGTATTTTATCGCATTTACTATGGGGAGTGTTTTGACGAATTGTTCGGACTAATTCTAGCCGTACGATTTCACCATCGCACATCGCGACAAAACTCCAACATTTTGAGACTTAAAAGAAGTTTTCTTTCTCGCATAACTTCCTTGTGGAATCGACTAACACCAGAGATTTTTCCGGATTGATAAAACTTAGGGATCTTCAAGAAAAGAGCCTACTCCTTTTTAAAAGTCCGGCAACGCATCTACAATTCCCCTGGTGTTGCAGTTGTTCATGGGCGGCGTAATTATTTACCATCAGGTGAGCCCTGAATCGTTTGCCCCCTCACCTATAAAAACAAAAAAAAACAATGATGCAGAAGTAGATAGAAAATAATAAGGACATGGAAAAAATTTTAGACCCTAAAAGAAATTCTAAAAAGTCAGATGCTAATAAATGAAAGATCAAGAATGAAATGAAAGTCAAGAGCAAGGTCATAGACTGGTGTCTCTGTCATCACTGACCTACGCCTTAGCTAATTTCGTTATGACGGTTAAATTAGGGAAGCTGGTTAGTTAGCTAATCAACCTTAGTTAACTTTTTTAGCTGACCTAACCGGCTAAATCTAAATCTAAGTCTAATAAATAATAAAATATTATATGATACAAAGTTAATCGGAGTGACAAACAAATAGAAATAGCTTATTGTCACCCCGATTAAATGGTTGATAACAGTAGTGGCATGTCGCTGCTAGCGTTATGTGACGTGGCGTGTGTGGAGCTGACCTTTCCGGTAGTGGTGTCGTGCAACGTGCAGCGCGTAGAGGAAGTCGTAGTAGGGGTTGTGCGCGGCCGCGTCGTGCAGCTTGGCGCGCGCGGCCGCCGCGCGCTCCGCCTCGCCCGCCAGCGCGCCGCAGCGCACCAGCGCGCCCAGCTGCCGCCGCGCCGCTGTACGCACCGCATTCACGTTCATGTCAGTACACAACCGTCACAGGCATAGCGTCCGCGCTATACTACCTACACCGCTACAAACTTGAAGCCTCTCACACACTACGCACATACGATTATATCCCGGGTTTCGGCAATCCTCTTTTTATACGTGGCAGAGCCATGCTGCATTTATATTAGTAGTATAGTTGTAGCACGAATGGATCGGCTCGACCGGGGAGACCACGCTTTCACAGAATACCAGCGTGAAATTGTAGCATAATGCTGCTGTGTTTCGTATGGTGAGTGTAGAGAACCGGAGACCGTTTTTACTGGATCGAGGCATTCCATCTTAGTCCTCACGGGTGACAACGCATCTGCATTTTGATTTGTAATCAAGGATAGATGTAGATGTCTATGGGCCACAGCAACCACTTACCACCAGGAGGACTGTGTGCTCGTTTGTCACCCCATCCTATAACATAAAAATAAAATATAATATCTGCGTATAAATATTTCATTATCTGAAAGTATCACACACAACGCAATGCGATAATATACGAAATGATACATTTACTCGAAATCTTTCAAACTTACTAGACGTGTTTTTTGGAACGAATTATTTATACAGAGTGTTATCTACATACAGTGGCGAAGCTAGAGCTCCAAACTAGGGCAAGCCCAAGATATAAATTGATAAAAATTTAGATTGTTGTTTTTAGCAGTTTTATAAAAATACACCAATTTTGACCTGTCTCCACTCTTCAGTTTCATATTCAGTGCTGTCAAGGACGTGTTTAACAAAGCACACAGAAGGCATACTACTGCTAGATAGATTGTATTACATATCAGTAATTGCATAGCTTCGGTGGCTTTGAAGAAAGCCGTTTGGGTTTGTTTGAACGAAAGAAAAAGATATTTATATACAATACAATACATGAACAAAAGTAAAACATGAACAAAGCACAAACTATGTACAAAATAAAAAAAAATTATTTACATTCTAAGTGGAATCGTCTCTCTTTCTTAAGGAAAGATTTAATTACGTCCACGTAAAATGTTGGTGAACGTCTTAATTATACCAACAACTATTTTTTAATTGACAAGTTTGAAATACACTCTTGACCTTGTGTATTATCTCAACAAAGTTTAAAGATTTTACCTTTTCCTCTTCGATTAGCACTTTAACACACTTCAATTCATCACACGGAACACTATTATCCTCCATTTTCACAAAAAATCTTTAAAAAGGCATACATTTTCAACTCGCAATATTAAAATCGCTTACGCTAAACACACAGAGTAAATAAACATTGAAATGTGAAATGGACTAGCAAACGTATTGCCCGCGCGCCACCGCTCTCGACAACTTCATTCCTAAAGCCTGGCATTAACTCTCTATACTAATTGCTATATATACAATCGTAGTTATATTTCATTATAGAATATTTTGCCATAGGTTAGAAAGAGAGCGATCGTCTTCTCGAAAGCCACGTAAAAAGCCCACGCGAGCGAGAGAGACAACTAATCGCTCTATTAAAACTTATTTTTTATGATAGCAGCAGTATCGCTAAAGACCGATTTACACTTCGACAAGTACAGTAGCGAGTTAACTTGCGAACCTGGCGAGTTAAGTTTGAACCTCGTTTGAACGGCAATAAGCGCGTTAAGTAGCAAGTTAACGATTAAGTTGAACGGGATAGCCGACCGAGATATTTTTCGGCGAGTTAAGTGCGAAGTGCTGTCCTCCCGCGCGTCTCCCGCCACCCGCAACTAAACTCGCCGTTCGTGTAAACGTGCGAGTTTAGTTCAGTACATAAGTTGACAGCACGCAACGTTTGCGCGCCAAAACGTACAATTGTACTTTTATAAATAAACTCGCCACAAAGTTACTGTTAAAAGTTAGAGTTATACGTTTTTTATACGTTATATTTAGTTTTAATTAAAATGGACGGAAGATATCACGTATAAATTTGTACAGGAGTATCTAGAATACGAATGTTTATATAATAGTAGAAGTTCAAATTGTAAAATTAAACCTGCTCGAGATGCTGCACTCATAAAAAATTATTAAACACTTCTTTAACAACAACCATTAATACTTCTCTGACTGGATCATTTAAGTCTTGACGTAATCCTAGAACCATCTTAAACGAAAACCATAAAAATTCTGTAGTCTTGAAACGTCATACTCTAACAAACTCTATGAACTAATGTCCTTAACTAAACTCGCCACGAAGACATTGTTTGAACGTTACTGGCCACTTAACCGTTCACTGTCAACTTGTAACTAAACTCGCTACTGTACTTGTCGAAGTGTAAATCGGTCTTAAGGCAATACGAGGTCATCGGTCGAGTTTACGAGTTATTTTATTAGTTGATATTATTGATTGATATTATTAATTGATTGTTTGATAAGGCAAGCCCGGCTTTTCGGCTTCTATAGAGGCTTCGCCACTGTCTACATACAATGGGTTGGCGTATATTGCTGCTAGGTTTGCTAGACCGCTCGTCAGAATAGGATTTTGATTTTGATGCACGTGCTGCATTAGCATTTACTAAAAGGCGAAGAATTTTGATAGAATATCATATAAAACTTAAAAAAGAAAGAGGCGAATTTAATCGCTATTTTTAGCGACCATCCTGTATTTATCCTATGCCATATTTGTATCTGCAGATATATTTGTACGAGCAGATAATATTGTGACTATCGTTCGATATATGTCGGTGCTTACAGATACTTAACGATAAAATATATATTATCTGCGCTGTGTGTTAGTTCATTGAATTTCATAGAAAGCGATATTGAAAAATATGCGCTCAGATACAGATATGTTATCGTATCTGCGTAGTACGTGACACACTTAAGGCGCGTGTATGCGTGAGCACTGGATCTTAACGTACAAAGCAAAACTACTTTAAACCGGTTCGGTCAGTGCTCAAACTCAGGGTGTACAGGTCGCGCATCGTGCTTGTTATCGTTACAAGTTTGACTTAAAAATAACAAAAAAGGAGTAATTTATCCATAGCAATATAAGTAATTCTTCGCCAGCTGATGTGTGGAAATTTCTTAGTTCTCTAGGTGTGGGCAAAACACCCTCTTTGGATTGTGGTTTATCGCTTTCTCACGATGCTTTAAATCTTCATTTTGCTTCTGCTTCTGCATTGGACCTTTCAATCCGATCCCAAACAGTCGCTTACATAGCCTCAATTCCGTCTCCACACATACCAGTCTTTCTTTTTAACCCTGTAGATCAGGATGAAATCAGAAAGATCCTTCTGGCAATAAAATCCAAGGCTGTCGGTTGCGATGATATTAGCAGAGCCATGATTGTTAATATTCTTGAACACATTATCTCCGCAATCACACATATTGTTAATTTTTCGCTTGACTCGGGTCAGTTTCCGAGTCAGTGGAAAAATGCTTTCGTTAGACCCCTTCCTAAAGTATCCAATCCAACACTTCCCAATCACTTCCGTCCCATATCGGTTTTACCTTTCCTATCTAAAGTTTTGGAAGCCTGTGTTCATAAGCAAATTTCCAATTTCATATATAAACATAACCTGCTGAGTACTTTTCAGTCCGGCTTTCGTCCTGGTCACAGCACTACAACTGCCTTACTTAAAATAACTGAAGACATTAGAGAAGGAATGGAAAACAAGAAAGTTACAGTTGTGGTGCTCGTTGACTTTTCCAATGCTTTTAACACAGTTGACCATGATATCCTTCTTGCTATCCTTTCTTATTATAGGTTTGCACCGCCAGTCCTGGAATGGTTCTCATCTTATCTTCGCGGACGTCAACAGTCTGTCCACGTGGAGCAAGTGACTTCACAGTGGGTTGACCTGATTTCTGGCGTACCGCAAGGCGGTATACTTTCTCCATTAATCTTCTCTATTTTTATTAATTCCATCACATCTAATATTGATTGTTCGTACCATCTGTATGCTGATGACCTACAAATTTATGTACAGTCTGACATTTCTGACATCCATTATGCGATCAACAAATTGAATTCAAATCTCAAGTCAGTCTGTGATTGGTCTATGCGTTTTGGAGTGTCTGTCAACCCTACGAAATGCCAAGCGATGATTGTGGGTAGCTCAAGGATGCTTGCTAAAATAGATGCGGCTAGTCTACCTCCCGTCTATTATAATGATCGTCTGATACCGTTCTCTCCCTCAGTTAAAAATCTTGGTCTCCATATTGATAGTACTCTGTCCTGGGGGGTTCATATCTCCGAAACATGTCGTAAAGTCTCTGGTTCTTTACGTTCTCTTTATCGATTGAAAAATTTTCTCCCCTTTAAGACTAAAATTATGCTTGTACAGTTACTTATACTACCAATCATTGATTATGCAGATGTGTGTTACCCGGATTTAAACCAAAATCTTCTCAACAAGCTAGAGCGCCTTCTCAACAACTGCGTCAGATACATTTTCAATCTCCGCAAATTTGATCATATTTCTCACTATCGCTCTCGCCTAAAATGGCTCACTATTAAACAGAGGCGTGACTCTAGAATTTTGCTTGTTCTCTTCTCTATCTTAAATGATCCAACCACTCCTTCTTATCTCAAGGAGAAATTTCAATATATTTCCCTAACCCATGATAGAACTCTGCGTTCCTCATATAATAATAAACTAAGTATCCCTCTACATTCTACTAATTTTATTGGTAAATCCTTCACAATTCAGGCTGCACTGCTCTGGAACTCCTTGCCCGATAACGTCAGAAAAACATCTAATAAGATTGCCTTTAAAAGATTGGTACATAAGCATTTTATGAAAATATTAGATGATAGTTAATATGGTTAATTTTGGTTACCTTTGTTGTTATTTTATTTATAGGTTTATATTATATATCTATTTGTATTTAAAATATGTATATATTTATGTATCTATGAATATGTATGTATATATTATATATTATCTGTATTATATTTAGGAGTATATAAGTTTATTGTATTTGTATATATAATATTAGTTTGTTTTTAAGTTTATCAGTAGTTGTTTTCCTTGATTTACTCTATTGTTCATTTTATTTTGTCACCTATCACATAATTTCCACACGTCCCGGGTTGACTGGGAGAGAATGCCTAATGGCATTAAGTCCGCCCTTTGTAATCTTTTTTATGGTGCAATAAAGTGTAAATAAATAAATAAATAAATAAAAAAGGAGTAAATATTATACGTGATAGAGAATGGGTCGGCTCGACCGGGGAAGGACCACACTCTCACAGAATACCAGCGTGAAATAGTAGCTTAATGCTGCTGTGTTTCGTATGGTGAGTGTAGAGAACCGGAGACCCTTTTTACTGAAAACGAGGCATTCCATCTTAGTCCTCACGGGTGACAACCAGTGGCGAAGCTTCCATTAAAGCCGAAAAGCCGGGCTTGCCTTATTAAACCTGAATCAATCAATAATATCAACTAATAAAATAACTCGTAAAATGTTTCAAGCTATTTCAAATTTCCTGCGCACTCCACTGTTCGACACATGTCGACCGATGACCTCGTATTGCCTTAGCGATACTGCTGCTGTCATAAAAAATGAGTTTTAATAGAGCTAATAGTTGTCTCCCTCGCTCGCGTGGGCTTTTCACGGGGCTTTCGAGAAGACGATCGCTCTCTTTCTAACCTATGGCAAAATATTCTATAATGAAATATAACTACGATTGTATATATAGCAATTAGTATAGAGATTTAAAGCCAGGCTTTTGGGAATAAATTTGTTAAAAGCGGAGGCGCGCGGGCAATACGTTTGCAAGTTCATTTCACGTTTCAATTTTTATTTACTATGTGTGCTTATCTTAAGCGATTTAATATTACGAGTTCAAAATTTATGCTTTTTTAAAGATTTTTAATGAAAATGGAGGATAATAGTGTTCCTTGTGATGAAGTGTGTTAAAGTGATATCTTCGGAGAGGAAATCTTTAAACTTTGTTGAGATAATACATAAGGTTAAGAGTGTATTTCAGACTTATCAATTATCGCAATTAAAACAGTTATTGGTACAATTAAAACGTTCACCAACATTTTACGTGGACGTAATTAAATCTTTCCATAAGAAAGCGAGACGATTCCACTTATCTCATCTTATCTCTTATCCATTAGAATGTAAATAATTTTTTTTTATTTTGTACATAGTTTGTTTGTACTTTGTTCGTGTTTTACTTTTGCTCATGTATTGTATTGGATGAAAATATTTTTTTTCTTTCGCTTAAACAAACCTAAACGGCTTTCTTCAAAGCCACCGAAGCTATGCAATTGCTGATATGTAATACAATCTATCTAGCAGTGGTATGCCTTCTGCGTGCTTTGTTAAACACGTCCTTGACAGCACTGAATATGAAACTGAAGCGTGGAGACAGATCAAGATTGGTGTATTTTTATAAAACTGCTAAAAACAACAATCTATATTTTTATCAATTTATATCTTGGGCTTGCCCTAGCTTGGAGCTCTAGCTTCGCCACTGGTGACAACGCATCTGCATTTTGATTTGTAATCGAGGATAGATGTAGATGTCTATGGGCCGCAGCAACCACTTACCATCAGGTGGACTGTGTGCTCGTTTGTCACCTTATCCTATAAAAAAGAGCAATTGTCATTTTACATGAAAGTGTAAATATGGTACTGCACTGTGTGTATGAACAATAATAGAGCGTATATATACAATAAAATAATTATTATTATTAGTATATGCAATAATATTGTAACTTGTTCACAGCAAATAAAGTTTATAAACATCACAAACATTGGTAAACTGTACTAATGTTGGCACTCCTACAATGATTTGCACTTTGCTATTATAATCTGAATATTAAGAAAGTTTTTTTAAATGATATCAATATCATAGCAACACAGCCGTGGTAGCTCAGGGGCTAAGGCGCTTGCTGTAAAATTTTACAGTACCCGAGCAAACCGGGTTCGATCACCACCGGCACCAGTGAAATTGTTAATTGCAATTTTAAGTGCTAATTTACCACGTGCGCTGCGGTGAAGGAAAACATCGTGAAGAAACCTATATGTTTGAGAAATAAGAAAAAAATATTTAGAAGACGTAAAGTGCGCCAACACGCATTGGGGCAGTGCGCCGTACTTTTCCTTGCCGTAAAACCCTCTTAAAAATGAGTGGTGACCTGTACCCAGGAGTGGGACGTATTTTACTTTACTTTTAACACAATTATTGCTAGGATATACAATTTCTTATACTAGCAACACATATTCATATCATAATCATCATCATTCCCTCAACAGCCCTTCAAAAGTCCGCTGCTGAACATAGGCCTATTTATATTTACATATTTATATGTAAGGCGTCCACTATCTTCCTATATCGGCTGATTTAAAAAAAGGGTTTGGACGAGTCCATTAAAAGTAAGTTTCGTGGCTAGATTTGACAAAAAAGTGATTTTAAGTAGGTGGGCAAGTTTTTATGTATTTTCATTCATCGTCATCCAATAGTAACTGAAAATCTAAACAAGTTTTGAGACATTATTAAAAGTAGTAAATTTATAATTAATGATAGCGACTACCTACTTACACTAAGTTAGTTACTTCATTGATTTAAAAGACGCAAAAATAAAGAGCTAAGGAGAAATTACAATGTAGTATCCCGCCACCTACTTTATTTACCGATTGCCTGTCAGGCAATGGTGGACTCATATTGCAATTTAAGCTACTTATAAACCGTTATAATCTTAGGTGCGTCCCGAGGTTAGCCCCTCGGCATTCAGCTGTGTGTTAGTACTGCTTGTACGTGTGTGTGTGTGAGAGGCGCGCGCGTACGGCGCGGGGTTGGACGCGGCGGCACTCAGCTGCATGCAGGTGTGTGTAAGGACTGTGTGTACATGTATACTTGTGTGTGCGTGTGTGGTGCGTACCGAACGTTGTGAGCAGGTGCGTGGCGATGGAAACGCGCGCGTGCGGCGCTGGGTTCGACGCGGCGGTACTCAGCTATGTACAGGTGTATGTGAGTACTGTGTGTACGTGTGTATGTGTGCGTGTGCGGTGCGTACCGAACGTGGTGAGCAGGTGCGTGGCGATGGAAACGCGCGCTTGCGGCGCTGGGTTCGACGCGGCGGTACTCAACTGTGTACAGGTGTATGTGAGTACTGTGTGTACGTGTGTATGTGTGCGTGTGCGGTACGTACCGAGCGTGGTGAGCAGGTGCGTGGCGGCAGAGGCACGCGCGTGTGGCGTAGGTATTAATGCGGCGGCACTCAGCTGTGTGTGAGTACTGTGTGTACGTGTGTACGTGTATAATTGTGTGTGTAAAGCTACTTATAAACAGTTATAATCTTAGGTGCGGCCCGAGGTTGGCCACTTGGCACTTAGCTGTGTGAGTACTGCTTGTACGTGTGTGTGAGAGTGACGCGGCGGCACTCAGCTGTGTGCAGGTGTGTGTGAGGACTGTGTGTGCGTGTGCGGTGCGTACCAAGCGTGGTGAGCAGGTGCATGGCGGCGGAGACGCGTGCGTGCAGCGCAGGGTTCGACGCGGCGGGACTCAGATGTGTGCAGGTGTCTGTGAATACTGTGTGTACGTGTATACTTGTGTGTGTGCGCGTATGCGGTGCGTACCGAGCGTAGTGAGCAGATACGTGGCGGCGGAGGGGAACGCGTGCGCCACTGGATTCCTCTCTGCGGCGTAGATTTCGACGCGGCGGCACTCAGCTGTGTGTGAGTACTGTGTGTACGTGTGTGTGTATGCGTGTGCAGTGCGTACCGAGCGTGGTGAGCAATTGCGTGGCGGCGGAGGCGCGCGCGTGCGGCGCGGGGTTGGCCGCGGCGGCGCTCAGCGCGCGCTCCACGCGTCCCCCCGCCAGGTGCCACTTGAATACCACCCACTGGAACATCGGCTGCGTAAAAACAATTCATTTAACATTAAAACTATTAATTAACTATTATTAAAACAAAAGAAAATAGTTGTCATTGACATTTGAAACAAAGATAAATACAACATACGGCAGTGGAAAGTTTTTTGATACAAAAACAATTGCCGTATGAACAATACCATGACGGTTTAGCTATATAGGCATTAATATAGTTGATAGCCGCTCGATTCGCTGGGGGCACGATAATATTTTATCGGGGAACCTAGATGTAAAATATCAAGATTTTGTTTTATCGTGAAATCCGTTCCTAATGAGTGTTTACATTACGAAATTTGTAACTATACCACATTTTAAGTCAATCGGGTGCATAGTTTTAGAAATCTATATAAGTTTTCAAACGATAAAGCGACATCAGTTAACCTATCCTAAGCATGACAAGTATGAAGTTAGTTGATTTCTTACCAAATTGGGATCATCTTTATCGGCAATGCTGATTGCAGTCTCGGCGAGTCGCACTACACAAGCACCAGCGTCGTGGATTTCGAAGAGCTTTATCACCTACGACAAAATAAAAATTGATAATTGATATTATTCAAATTCTCTCATTTTTATTTATTTATTTACTACACAAAATTATAAAAATTAATATTATAACTTTTTACGCATTTACAAGCTGCTAATGTGCTAATATGAATTTCAACTGACTGCAAGAAAATACGTTATTATTTGAGAGATTTATTTAAAGGGCTTACATTTTGTACATATTAGTGTTCACTTAAATGGAGAATGACAAAACAGATAATAGTTCGTCAAATGGTACAAGTAAGGTTGCCATTTCTTTTGTGTTTTTTCCCTTTTGCTCTTTTTAACGGGGTACAACAGGCCACATTTTCATTTCTGACAGGGGTATGGAACAGAAAACGGTTCACCGCTACTGCCGTGCGTATTCTTCAAACGATATTTTTCCAGACATGCAAGTTGAAAGTCGTCGAGGAGGAAAGGGTTCACTATGTTGCTTCAGTGCGTATTGGTCGATTTCACTACTCTTGCTCACGAAATATTTTTTATTCCTTAAATGAGAGTTGTCCTGTTTTACTTCACTACCAAACCAGTGCAAAAAATAAGCAGTTTAAAGAGCAAATAGGAAAGTGTCCGCAGCGTGCCTTCATGTAGTAGAGCACGAGCGCCTGATGCTGCGTGAGGTGATCGTCGGCGGCGGCCACCAGGTGCCGCAGGAAGGGCTCGGTGCTGACGCCCTTGGCTGCCTTGCAGAAAGCCGTGTATGCGCCCTCTGGCTCCTCCATATCCAACAGCGACAGTCCCAGTATGAACTGACCTGCAACAGTTATGTTTTTAGGCTGCAGCCCAGGATACCAATGGCTCTCAGCCTACATTAAAAACAATAGACAATATAATGAAGAAAAAATATCCAAAATTTAAAAAAATCTGGTCATAAGGTTGGCATCCAACCAACCCGTATATGCGTGTCTATCGAACGGAACGGGGAAGTCCCTTAGAGAATTTATAAGCAAGCAATTTATACTCTAAGGGAATTCCCCGTCTCTTTTGTTTTTGGTCGGTGTATTTTCTCGACAGGGTTCCCCAAGTTGTTGTTCTTTCGGTTTATAATTTGTAATTGGGTCCCGCCTGCTACTAAACTTAATATTTTACTTAGGCATTCAGCTAATAATACAGTCTGTTAAACCGAAGTAGAGTTTACTTTGTTTACAGTTTTTTTAATTTTCTTTTCTTTACTCAGTCTTGTTTCGGTTTTTTTAGTGCATTTCTGTTAAATTGTCTTTTTTGCAGTCGGGTTTTTAAATATTTATTTTATTTAACACTTTTTAGTGTCCCAGTCTATTGTGTAAAGGTTTTTGACGATTTTTCAATAACAATGTGACTTAAAAAGGTGGATGTATATTTCCTGAAATAAACGGTGTTTATTTATTACATTTTTCTTCAAAACTTCAAAGTAAGTATACGGTTCAAAATTTATTGAACACATTTTATTTGTTTCGTTTTAAATGTAATTGGGTAACGGATATAAATAACTATTCTTTTTTCGTATAATTAGCATGAGGTCCGTTACAAACATTGCACATTTTATACGAGTATACCAGTTATCAAAAAACTTTATAAACCAATTTATTACCTATTCCTTCATCATCATCATCACAGCCCTTCACAAGTCCACTGCTGAACATAGGCCTCCCCCAAGTAATGCCACAAAGCACGGTCCTGAGCCACCTGCATCCATCGACTTCCTGCATATCTTACCAGGTCGTCACTCCATCTAGTGGGGGTCGTCCTACACTACGCCTACCGGTACGAGGCTGCCACTCGAGAACCTTTCTTCCCCATCGGTTATCAGTTCTTCGAGCTATATGGCCGGCCCATTGCCACTTCAGCTTACTAATCCGTTGGGCTATGTCGGTCTCTCTGGTTTTACTGCGGATATCCTCATTTCTGAGTCTATCACGCAGAGAAACTCCGAGCATAGCCCTCTCCATAGCTCGCTGAGCGACCTTGAGCGTCCTCATACGGCCAGCAGTGAAGGACCACGTCTCAGATCCGTAAGTCATCACTGGCAACACGCACTGGTTGTACAATCTAGTTTTTAGAGATTGAGGTATACTTGACGAGAAGATATGTCGTAATTTCCCGAACCTATTCCTAATTAAATTTAACCATATAACTTATATTCGATATTCAACAGGTTTGGTTATTTTTTTAATTAACGTATTACTACTATTTTGTGTCAAAAATCCGCCATTTTGTTTATTTAAAAAAAGCTATCTAAGAACACTTGGGTTTTTAAGACGAATAAAACGATACCTTAATTGTTGAAATCCATCCAGCTGTTTGGAAGATACGAGGTAATAAAGAAATTTACAAACATCACTGTGATCATTTGTGTCAAACGAAACAAATAAATTGTGTTCAATAAATTTTGAACCATATACTTACTTTGAAGTTTTGAAGAAAAATGCCCTGCTTTTACTCGTCGTTCTATATCCTTATCATATCTACCATCCCTGGTAAATACACATCTCAAATACACAAACTCATCCAATTGCTCAATCAACTTAGCTTCTGTTCTTATTTCACCTATCGTTTAACTTTCTTCTCATGCAAAAACCATTACTTTCGATCACTTTTATTCCCCTATTAGTCATAAACCCGTGTTATTCTTTAAATATTCAATAATAAAAACAAACAGCTTATCAAAGTTCACTGCAGAACATAGGCCTTTCAATAGATTGCCTCATAAAGGGGGTTTGCCATAGTTGCCTAGCTGGGCAAGCGGCTTAGCAACCGCAATTTATTTTCTAGTTCCAGACGCTGTTGTCCATTACCTGGTAAGTAACCCCATGTCACCCGTTATTCCGCAATCACTTTGTACAAACGTACTCAGACAATTTAAAATAACCTTTTACATAAATGGGGACGGAGACGGCTATGCTCGTGGTGTCTCTGCGTGATAGACTTAAAAACTGGGATATCCGCAGTAGAGCCAGAGTAACCGACATAGCCCAACGAATTAGTAAGCTGAAGTGGCAGTGGGCCGGCCATATAGCTCGAAGAAGCGACAACCGATAGGGAAGAAAAGTCTCGAGTGGCAGCCTCGTACCAGCAGGCGAAGTGTAGGGCTACCCCCCACTAGATGGGAGTGACAACCTGGTAACACATGCAGGAAGTCGATGGTTGCAGGTGGCTCAGGACGGTGCTTTGTGGTATTACTTGGGAGAGGCCAATGTTCACCAATGGACTTGTATAGGACTGTAATGATGACGTTGATGATGATGATGAAACAAACATTCATTTTGAATACATTGTAGGAAATCAAATACATAATAATTTATGTAAACAACCATGATGACAATGACAGCTCAACTAGTTATGATGATAAGTGATTAAATAAATTTTATTATAATCTAGTGCCGTCTATAATTTATATAACTTTATCTCTAAAAATTTGCAGTAAGGAATAAATATAAAAAACTGATAAATGTTGTGTTTTAAGTTATATATTTTTAATTTATTGTATTAATCTAGATAAAACTGTAAATAATTACCATTTCTAAAGAATCGATATTGAAATTAGTTAAAAATCAAAAATTGTCAACATTGTTCCAATAAATGTGACTGCTTGGCTTAAAGGTATTTCTTAGACTTTGTCGAGTATAATACTAATATTGTCATTAATCATGATAAGATTTAATAAGCATGCGTTATTTATGCAACTGTTTTGATTCTGTAATCTCTCTATTTATAAACACAGCGGATTTTTTTACACAGCGATTTTTAATTGTACAAAAACCACCATAACAGTATAGTAGTTTAGCCATACGAATTTTATTTTGTTTCAGTTATCTTAACACATAATGAAGATAAATAAATGTTTCCTAACTATTTAAAAAAAACTAGAAACCTAAGATAACTAAAAGTGTCTAGTTATAAAGCCGTTTGTAAACATACAGCAAAAATATTGAATGAACCATACTCTTCCCCAGTTCTAACGTGGATGTTCGCGCAGTGTTCCGGTTTTAAATGCATGGAGCAGTATAATTACAAAAATGAGGTATTCCACCTGTCCTCAGAATTTTTTCATATCAGTAGCATTCTTGTTTAACGATGTTTGCAGGTGTCCATGAGCCTGTGTAGCTACCAACAAGTGGACTGTAAGTTTGTTTGCCACTTCAATTTTATAAAATAAAATAGATAAATTTTATACCACCCTACAAAGGAAAGGAGGAATTCGATATCAAATATTACGTTATCTGTGGCACTACAAAAATTATTTAGTTACTTACGTGAGCAAGCATTCCATTCGCACCAAGGTTCCAACATAGCCACATAGTTCTGAACAAGTTGCGGCTGATTTATTGAAGCTAACCACCATCCAAATTCGAAACCACCGCTAACGGCCCATCTATTAGTTGGGTTTAGGAAGACTACATATTTATATTACTTTTAATAATTATCGTCGATTACTTCAACAAAGGATTATTTGCAGGTATATTTTCTGAATTTCAGACAGGAATGCTCCGGTGGATTGGCTACAAAGAGAGAATGTAGAGGAACCAACTCTCTGGGTAACAGGCGTGAGAGTTCATGTTATATTTTATCTCTTCTTCACTGCATGTTGTTTAACTCTTCATATCTATCGTATATTAAGTAACATGTTGTTTTCTTGCGTAATTGATACCTCAGGCGCTTTGAGATCACCAGAAGACAGAAGACATAAAAGTAATTTTCTGGAGAAGGAATTTTTAATGACAAGACCGTTACCTACTTTTTTACGTACTAATTTCTTATTTTGAGTGTTTTAGTGTGTGCAATAAAAAGTCTAAAATTCTATCTACCTGTTTATCATATTTAAACAGCTTATAAATACAAGTATAATATTTAAAGCGAGTAAATAAGTACACACGCCCAATATATATATATATATATATATATATATATATATATATATATATATAATAATTTTAATGTATGTAAATATATGGTGACGGCAAAGGATACAGCTGGTGCGCGAGATGATATGCCATGAGCGGGAGTGCGTGGAGCGCGTGCGTGGGCGCGTGCGCGGCCGCCAAGCGCCGGCGCGCGCGCCGCCCACCCGTGCCCCAAGCGTACGCCGCTACCGCACCCGCTCCCCCCGCGCCCGCAGACCCCGCCGCGCCAGCAGATACCGCCCCGCGTGCTTCCGCACTCGCACCAAGCGCGCTCAGCTTTAGCCGGAAGGCTTCCGTCGACTTCGCAGACCTATTTTATAACATAAGCGTGATAAGTATGTGAATCAAACAATTTTTATATGTAACTAATTTTAATCACCTATATTATGTATGTGTATTTATGGTGTCTGTTATTATTTTTATATAACTAGATTAATCAATAAGCTTTCGGAATAGAACACTTATCAAAAAGTTACAGAAAGGCGTTCTATTTTTTTTTTTTTAGTTGAAATGTTAAATTCGTTAACAGCTAAATTTAAACTATACCCAAATTTTTATTCAAACTTCACATTTAGCGGGAATTCGATTCGTAAACAAAATGGAAAAGTTTCAACTTCGTGCGGAGTGTTCTTGAAGTTTGTTTTGGCATACAATGCTCCGTCTTGTTGCTTCCGTATTCTACAGTTCTAAGCTGAATTTAAACGCGGCAGAACCGCATACAATGACGACACTCGCTCCGGACGGCCAAAAACGGTTGCTACGCAAGAAAACGTTTAAAAAATCAAAGAAACTATTAAGGTAGATCGACGTGTGACTATCCGTTATTTAGCTAAAATTCTAAAACTTTCGTTCAAACATTTCAGTTCATTTTTAACTCATACCTTAAAATTCAAAGACATGACCGCGCGTTGGATTCATCGAATATTAACAAAGGCCCAAAAGAAACCAAGAGTTGACATTTCAAAACTAAACTTATCAAGAATTGAAGATCCAGATTCTTTTTACGTTCGTTTTATAACCGTGGATAAAAAGCGGGTACACCATGTTGTACCGGAGACGAAAAAAACCAAAGCAAGGTGTGGAAAAGAGCGCCTTCCCCGCTAGTCAAGTGATTCAAGATATAAATAAGCGTCCGCTGGGAAAATAATAGCATGTGTGTTCTGGGATGCGGAAGGTATAATAAAGATCGACTATTGGAGAGACAATAACCGGACATGATTATGCCTCAATTACCAAAAAAATACGCGAAGAACTAAAGATAACACGTCGAGGAAAATTGCGTGCTAAAGTGCTTTTTTATCATGATAATGCCCATCGGTCTAATGTTGCAGCCGCTGCTCCAGACCTAGCTCCGAGTGATTTTCACCTTTTTACGCACCTGAAAAAGCACTTGCGCGGTATAAAATTCGACAGCGGCGATAAGTGATGTGTGCTGCATATAGCGGCCATTTTCGAGTCCCAGGTTCAAACTTTTTCTTCTGAAGGAATTAACCAACTTCCAAAACGCTATACAACGTGTATTAGCTTAAAAGGCGATTACGTTAAAAATAAATACAATTTACACATACTAATTCTAAAGTTTTATTGCCTTTCCAAAAACTTATTGATCAACCTAGTATGTAACGTTGTGTTATTGCATCTGTACAGTCAGGACGACTGCCTCGTTGGTCTAGTGATTGTAGTAGTGCGACTGCTGATCATGAGGTCCTGGGTTTGTATCCCGGGTCGGGCCAAAAAAATTAATAAAATTAAAGCCCGGAGTCAGGAAGTTAGCGGTGTCTCACCCCCAAGCCTCGGAAAGCACGTAAAGCCGTTAGTCCTGCGCCTGATCTCTCTCCGATCGTGTCGGTTTACCGTCCCATCGGATTATGAGAGTGAGGGAATAGAGTGTGCACCTGTGCTTGCGCATACACTTGGGCACTATAATCCTGTCTTGCGCCGATAGCTAGCCTCCGTTGAGGCAGGCCGACGTGGCCGAATTTCGGTCTGGAGAACATTATTACAGTCAGGAAACTTTATGTTTAAGTATTGACCCAGTTACCCTTCTACAGCTCGACTTATCTGGCTGCAAATGAATAAGGTAGGAAGGAGTATTGGACCCTACAGGTCCTAACTAAACCCCAACACCCAGAAATCCCTAATACCCCAGTCCTACCATATAAATATATATACATGAATTAGAGTATATAACTATAATTAAGTACGGGATGTCTGCACCATGAGACTTAAGGTAACAGACTCACAAGACTGATCAGAAGTTCTGAAGGCTAAAGGTGTTTTGGCCACAGTGAGAGGGAATTCGTACCAGGAGTATCAGCGGTAGCTCAACGAAGACATCGTCCAGCGTTGAAAGAGTATTTTATTAACAAATCATTACAATTTATAATATAATTGCATAGGTTAATATTTATGTCCATTCTAAGATTATTCAGCAAAACTATTGGTGTACATGATTTTTGGTAACGCAGACATAGTGTCTCTGCGTTATAATGCTAGAACTGAACAGCATCGTTATTTGTATGATGATGTGCAGCAGCGCAAGCTAGGCCTGCCCGTGCACGGCGCAGTGCCCGGCGCCCGGCACGCGGTACTCACGGCGGGTGTAGTGCAGCGGTGTGCAGCCAGAGCAGCGCACGGTAGGCCTGCCCGTGCACGGCGCAGTGCCCGGCGCCCGGCACGCGGTACTCACGGCGGGTGTAGTGCAGCGCGGTGTGCAGCCAGAGCAGCGCACGGTAGGCCTGCCCGTGCACGGCGCAGTGCCCGGCGCCCGGCACGCGGTACTCACGGCGGGTGTAGCGCAGCGGTGTGCAGCCAGAGCAGCGCACGGTAGGCCTGCCCGTGCACGGCGCAGTGCCCGGCGCCCGGCACGCGGTACTCACGGCGGGTGTAGCGCAGCGGTGTGCAGCCAGAGCAGCGCACGGTAGGCCTGCCCGTGCACGGCGCAGTGCCCGGCGCCCGGCACGCGGTACTCCCGGCGGGTGTCGGGCAGCGGTGTGCCGCCAGAGCCGCGCACGGTAGGCCTGCCCGTGCACGGCGCAGTGCCCGGCGCCCGGCACGCGGTACTCACGGCGGGTGTAGGCAGCGGTGTGCAGCCAGAGCAGCGCACGGTAGGCCTGCCCGTGCACGGCGCAGTGCCCGGCGCCCGGTACGCGGTACTCACGGCGGGTGTAGCGCAGCGGTGTGCAGCCAGAGCAGCGCACGGTAGGCCTGCCCGTGCACGGCGCAGTGCCCGGCGCCCGGCACGCGGTACTCACGGCGGGTGTAGTGCAGCGGTGTGCAGCCAGAGCAGCGCACGGTAGGCCTGCCCGTGCACGGCGCAGTGCCCGGCGCTCGGCACGCGGTACTCACGGCGGGTGTAGTGCAGCGGTGTGCAGCCAGAGCAGCGCACGGTAGGCCTGCTCGTGCACGGCGCAGTGCCCGGCGCCCGGCACGCGGTACTCACGGCGGGTGTAGTGCAGCGGTGTGCAGCCAGAGCAGCGCACGGTAGGCCTGCCCGTGCACGGCGCAGTGCCCGGCGCCCGGCACGCGGTACTCCCGGCGGGTGTAGTGCCGCGGTGTGCAGCCAGAGCAGCGCACGGTAGGCCTGCCCGTGCACGGCGCAGTGCCCGGCGCCCGGCACGCGGTACTAACGGCGGGTGTAGCCCAGCGGTGTGCAGCCAGAGCAGCGCACGATAGGCCTGCCCGTGCACGGCGCAGTGCCCGGCGCCCGGCACGCGGTACTCACGGCGGGTGTAGCGCAGCGGTGTGCAGCCAGAGCAGCGCACGGTAGGCCTGCCCGTGCACGGCGCAGTGCCCGGCGCCCGGCACGCGGTACTCACGGCGGATGCAGCGCAGCGGTGTGCAGCCAGAGCAGCGCACGGTAGGCCTGCCCGTGCACGGCGCAGTGCCCGGCGCCCGGCACGCGGTACTCACGGCGGGTGCAGCGCAGCGGTGTGCAGCCAGAGCAGCGCACGGTAGGCCTGCCCGTGCACGGCGCAGTGCCCGGCGCCCGGCACGCGGTACTCACGGCGGGTGCAGCGCAGCGGTGTGCAGCCAGAGCAGCGCACGGTAGGCCTGCCAGTGCACGGCGCAGTGCCCGGCGCCCGGCACGCGGTACTCACGGCGGGTGCAGCGCAGCGGTGTGCAGCCAGAGCAGCGCACGGTAGGCCTGCCCGCGCACGGCGCAGTGTCCGGCGCCCGGCACGCGGTACTCACGGCGGGTGCAGCGCAGCGGTGTGCAGCCAGAGCAGCGCACGGTAGGCCTGCCCGTGCACGGCGCAGTGCCCGGCGCCCGGCACGCGGTACTCACGGCGGGTGCAGCGCAGCGGTGTGCAGCCAGAGCAGCGCACGGTAGGCCTGCCCGTGCACGGCGCAGTGCCCGGCGCCCGGCACGCGGTACTTACGGCGGGTGCAGCGCAGCGGTGTGCAGCCAGAGCAGCGCACGGTAGGCCTGCCCGTGCACGGCGCAGTGCCCGGCGCCCGGCACGCGGTACTCACGGCGGATGCAGCGCAGCGGTGTGCAGCCAGAGCAGCGCACGGTAGGCCTGCCCGTGCACGGCGCAGTGCCCGGCGCCCGGCACGCGGTACTCACGGCGGATGCAGCGCAGCGGTGTGCAGCCAGAGCAGCGCACGGTAAGCCTGCCAGTGCACGGCGCAGTGCCCGGCGCCCGGCACGCCGCCCGCGCCTCGCGCCACTCCCAACGCCGCCAGCGCGCCGCGCACCACGCGCGCTCTGCACCAAGCAACACAACATATTACATCGTTACTGTCAAGATTCGTTGAAATTATCATACCAATTAATTTTACATTATAAAAACCTAACGATAAATCTGAAGCACTACAGTCGTCACTCCTCAAGCGTAGACTTACCGAAGCCACGTGCTTGGCGAGATTTACCCAGGCACACGCACTAAGCAGGTAGGTTCTTGACCGCAGTAAAGGAACCAAAAACTTCGCACAAATAAAGCTGAACTACGTAATCCTAGGAAATTTACCGTTTATTTTTAGAACGCATGATAAATAAAATCCTCATTACCTCATCTCGGCCATTTGTCGTATCGCTTCGGTAACTACAGCCACTCCGAGATCACTAGCGAATAAATTATCATACTCGCTGGTGTCCTCATCTTCACCTAAAAACGAAAAATGTTCGTATATAAATATTAAAATTGATAATAAAATCACTATTATGAATCAGGTTATTAAACTAAACCAACTTTTAGATGTGTCTAAATCAGGCACGTCCAAACGAAGCGCATCATTCAATTCAAGAACAGCATTTTGTAAGTCTTTGATTGGCTCCAATATTGAAGTCAATTCATCAATCTGCTGCGGCGTCAACGTCTGCAAAAAATACACATATTTTATTAACAATTTAAAAATAGAAGTAAGTTATCACATCAAGTGTAATATTTTTCACGTATTTAATTAATATACTCGTACCGGTAGGCGTAGTGTAGGGCGACCCCCCACTAGATGGAGTGACGACTTGGTAAGACATGCAGGAAGTCGATGGTTGCAGGTGGCTCAGGACCATGCTTTGTGGCATTACTTGGGAGAGGCCTATGTTCAGCAGTGGACTTGTGAAGGGCTGTAATGATAATGATGATTTAATATACTACCCGTACATTAACTCGTGAACATCGCAATAGACCAAGTGAATAGATTTCGAAAGCATTTGAATTTTGAATACATATTATTCGAATTCCGAAATAATATTTTTAAAAACAATGGTCATAAAACCAGGCAATATAAAAAACAAGAGGAAGCCCAAAGTGGGCGGGGCAGGCCTGTTACAATTATGGACAGTAGCCCGTAAGTAACCATCAGTCGTAGGCTCAAATTGTCACGAGCTGACGGGTGATGAAAAAAGCTAGTAAACGGGGAAAAATAAATGTAGTCTTGTTCTCTAGTATTTTTTTTTAAATATTAAGGTTCACCGCTTTGCGGCATCAGCAACGAATCATATGCCTGCTATATGAATAACGGGGATATACGTATTACATCAAGGCATTTTCGAAGGTATTTTCATATATTTTCCTAAACTTTAATATCGACTGAATATCGATAATTCAGATCACGTTCAGGCAAAGTAACTACATCACTAACATCATTCACGTAGCAGTTTAGTTTAGGTAGGGCAAAGTCAATGTTACGTCTATTTCCAGTTTGTCGCTTGGAATCACGCGCCCAATTCTCGCGGCCGAGAGCTGATAACTTCCGTTCTGATGATTTCAATTGTAGGCAGCTACGGTTTCAGAAGTATGAAATTACGAGTTCGAACAAAAATTCGATTTATTTAGAACTCGATTGTGGCGGGAGTAGGCCGTCTGGTTCTGAACACAAGGTGCGTGTTAGTATTTGTAAGTACGCAACTGTGGTGAGTTATGGATTTTGTGATCAGACGTGTTATGGAGTGGAGACCGTGTCTAGGCAAACGTAGTACGCAAGGTGGCTGGTAGAATCTGGATGCGTGGTGACGCGCCTTGGGAGAGGCCTATGTCCAGCAGAGGAGTGGCGCAAGCCAACGATGAGCTCACCGGTTGTTGCTGGTCGGGAGAGGGCGCGGGCGTCAGCAGCAGATGCAGCAGGGCCGGCAGCAGGCGGTTCTGCGACGCGACGCATGCGAACAGGCGGCGCTCCAGCTCGGCCGCACCGCCCGCGCTGACCGCGCGCTCCCACCGCGCGCCCGCTGCCACCACGCGCACCGCATCCGCCGACAGCGACCCCGTGTCGCCGCCTGAACAATCACAACTCATACAATGCCTCCCTCAAATACAACCTTCATGCAAATGTGGTAGTCGGATCAAAAAATATTTATCAACAATATACATCACTATCGGGCACGTACAATAATTTAAAAGGGGCAGTCAACAAAATAAATAGTAATGGATAGGCACGATCATAAATTATTTGAAAATTATATATGACATTGACATTTGCATTTAGTTTACACTTTGAAAAAGAGGCGTTCCATTTTAGTCCTCAGGTGATGACAACGCATTTGCGTTTTGATCCTTAATCGAAGATAGATGTAGATGTCTATGAGTCATAGCAACCACTAACCATCAGGTGGACTGTATGCTCGTTAGTCACACTCATTCTATAAAAAAATTACCCCACTGCAAAAATTCACTTTTGTAATTTGGATTCGCATTTCGAAATTATTGTACTTAATAAATCCGATACTAATAATAATGGATCCTTGGACGCTATGATGTGCTACACAGTAAGTTAGAAAATATTCGTTCACAGGACACGCTGGTAGCCATAACACAACCTACGCCGCATTAAAGTATATAATCTAGGGTATTATTATATTGAGACATGTCAAGACTAATTTTAGTAGTGTTCCGACAGGCGGTTGTCATGTTGAGCAACCCTATCCTTCACCTCCCTTATCTCTTTCCCAAAGGTAGCGTGAAGGTCCTTCATGAGGAGCATCTGCTCTTCCGACCGACGAACCTGTTCCGCCTGCTGATCTTCTAACCGACGGGCCTGTTCCTCCTGTCGGCGGGCTGTTCCTCCTGTTGCGAGCCTGTTCCTCTTGTCGACGGGCCTGTTCCTCCTGTCCACCCCGCAGCTGCTGCAGCATCACTATCAGAGCACCTAAGTAAGGTGCTACAGACGTAGGAGCTGCTGATGGGCCGGCCTCCGTGGCCGGCGGCTGGCCCTCAGACGTCTGCGGCGTTACACCACCAAATCGTCTCTGGTCCGTCTCCTGCTGGCGTTGACTTCGGGTACGGACACCCTCATATTCCTCCTTCGGTAAAATCAGCATGATTTGATCCCACTTCTGACACCAATTGTTACGAGCTTGAGGTTCGTGACAATAAAAACTGCCGATTGAATTACCAAAATTAACTCTTTAATTCACTTTACACTAATTAAAACTTAGAACACTAATAATTAACCACACTGATTCACTTTATTTCGCTCCGAAGCTTCGCTTGTCTCGCCAAATTCAATACTTCCCCGATCGCATCTTGCAGCGCCTATAAATACACATTAGCACCGAAACATCCAGAATATATAGAATATATATAAATACGCGCACCAATTGACAAGGCGCCGAAAGTTCGAGTGTCGGCTTCTAGAAGCTTAGTTCTTCGTTTCGATACTAGATGGCACTGTCGGTTGAAAGATTAGTGATGTCATTTTCTGGAAAGCTCCCCTCGCTCTCGTCCCTGACACTAGATGGCGGGGGGTACATGACGTCAACTTAGGCGCGCAACAATATCAATCAATAGCACTGACCTCTATATATACAAGTACGCTGGACTGGCTATACACCGTGACATGATGAAGCGATTTGATTTCCGCCATTTTGGCGCTGACATCAGAAGTGCATGTCCACGGAACTAATACTAGGGATAAGACAGTGTACCAAATTATATCGATAAAAATTCTATACCCTACCTATACCTAAATAAATAGAATGGACTCTATGAATAGATGGACTCTACCCGTAACGTCCTTTCTATTTATTTATCATATTAATATAATGCCATTATCATTTATCATCATTAAAACCCTTCACAAATCCACTGCTGAACATAGGCCTCCCCCAAGGAATGCCACAAAGCACGGTCCTGAGCTACCTGCATCCATCAACTTCCTGCATGTCTTACCAGGTTTTGAGTCCATCTAGTGGGGGAACGTCCTACACTTAACTTTCCAGTACGAGGCTGCCACTCGATAACCTTTTTTCCCCATCGGTATTCGGTTCTTCGAGCTATATGGCCGGTCAATTGCCACTTCAGCTTTTTGTTTGTTTGTTTTGTTTGTACCCCTGAGTATAGCCCTCTTCATAGCTCGTTGAGCGGCTTCGAGCACCCTCATACGGCCAGCAGTGAAAACCTCGTCTCAGATCCATATTTTATCACTGGCAACACTTATTGGTTGTACAATCTAGTTTTGAGGTATTCCTGACGAGAAGATGTGTTGTAATCTCCCGAACGCTGCCCAGCCGAGTTGAATCCGTCGATTGAGCTGTCGGTCGAAGTTCAATTGAGAAGAAGGTCAATTGACGGACCTACCTAGTCGGACTCTTTGTCCCAGTAAAAATACTCATCAACAACTTCAGCTAAGTGCTCCCAAAACCCTCAGGCATAGGTGTGACATGGACATTACACATGACTTTTGTTTTCTCCATGTTCATCTTAAGACCTATCCGTTGGGAGACACTATTGAGGTCATTGAACATAGTGCGTAGGTCCTCCAGCGATTGTACCATAAGGACTATACTGTCGGCAAATCGAAAGTGAGTGACGTACACGACATTGACGTTAATACCGTATCCTTTCCAGTCCAGTAGGTTGAAAACGTTTTCCAATGCAACGGTAAAGTATTTCGGGGATATTACGTCACCCTGTCTCTTACACATCTCTACAGTTGAATTAGTTTTGTACTCTGGTTCTGTACTCGGATATGCCATCATAGCCCTTAACCATTCAACTAAAATTATTAAGATTAAACTAAGTACACAAAATAAAAATAAAAACATAATTTCTAGAATAATTTATTGTCAGCCGTTCACTTTGTTTTAGTATTATAAAAAACAAATCAGCTGCTATAATAACGCCTATTCTAATCAACTACAGGTCTGTCTATTGACAGTAAAATATTTTCTACTATATAAAAATTTATGTTTGTTCGTACTTTCTACGATGCCATACCGTTCATCAGATTGCGGTAAAACTTAGTCATCTTATTGGTTGTACTTGTGAGAAGGTTATACGCGTGGTACAATTAACTGACACTAGGTGGCGTGCATATTATACTGACTATTTATTTGAAAGTCATAGAAAGTTATTTTTCATTCTATTTCAATGATTGTATTATCATTCCTAATTATACAATATAACTGTTCCACATTTTTAACGATATTTCCACAATTATTTCTTCTGCGGCAATAATGCGCCGGGTATAAGCTAGCAAGATAATATAAAAAATATAAACTTTAAATTACACAGTTATCAGTTATTTACAACGTCATTTTCGAAATTAAAATTACAATATTAAAAAAATAACTGAAATTATCAATTACCGAGCCCGATATTTGAATGGAGCCAGGTAAAAACGAACATTTGGAAGCATCAAGTGGTGCAGCCTCACCAAAGTCGCGAAAAACAGTCGAGTGGTGCATCGCCAATCGCCATACCAACACTCCTCTTCCAGCAGTACAGTGAGAGGAATCTCCTCTAACCGCAGCCCACTAACACACATCTAACGTGACTCGACATCATCAGGCGACCTTTCGACACTTGGCTATGGCCCTTGAGTTTGGTGGAAAATGAGGAAAGAAGAAAAATCATTCGAAATAATAATCTAATACTTAGTACTTCGTAGTTGCAGTGCTTGGTACTGGTACTACAAGAAAATATTGTCGGTATACTGCACTTTTTCAAAGTGGTGCAGTTCTCATGTCTAATAAAACAGTCGTCTGTGAAATGTTTGGAACAAATATGATCATTTTCTTTCGGACGCCAATTCACAATATTTATGATTTTAAGCCATAATTTTAGTCTAGGTTCAGTTGGAAACCTGTTAATTAATAAACATTTGATAATCATCTGTTGTTGGTGACTTTGTTTGTTAACAAATATGGGTAGGCAAGAACATCGATAAGTATTATAGACAAGGAACTCAACAACCCTATTGAATTTTATTGTTTATCAAAACTCAGTAATATACAGCTAAACATGTTGGTATATATGATATTAAGATTAGTAACAAATTTCTAAGTACTTATATTATCAAATAGTTTTAATTTGTTTAATATTTACTGCAAATTCACTTACTTGTAAAATGTTATACCATTTCCCTTTTGGTAACCGGTTTTACAGATTACGCACCCTCTCATTATTAATGAAAATAATTCGTATTATGTAACTAATATTATACATAATCAATAATAAAATAATCAAACAACATAAAATACTTTCGTTTTTTAGTTTAAAAGTTCAAAATACAGACTTATTAAATGATGAACTTATGACAATATGAATAAGACAACATATTTTGGCATATTATATCAATTTTATTTTTCAAGACATCCTTTAGCGGCGCTTCAAATTGGCACAGTCATTTTGTATGGTATAGCCAGTCCAGCGTACTTGTATATATAGAGGTCAGTGATCAATAGGTATAGTTGGTAAATAAGTTGATTTCGATCTTTTAAATTTGCCTAAGATGTTGCAGTTTACGATAGGTATAAAAATGGTTATTAGAAATTATTTATGAATTCATTATAATGCAAGATAAAATTTAACATGTAATTGGCCCGTAAAAGTATGAAGGGAGGATCGAAATTACAAAAATAATAATCTAAAACGATAGATCTTGAATAGTATAGGATAGTTGTAAACAATTTTTTATTAGTCTGAAACTGTTAACACTTCCATGCCTTTGTATATATATATATATATATATATATATATATATATATATATATATATATATATATATATATATATATATATATATATATATATATTGAGGTAGTCGTCTTTGTTATTACGCATATTTCTTTATTTGAGTGCCTACACAGTAAACGTAATAGTTATAAAATATGCTTTCCATCAAACAAAACAGCCCAATTTAACGACAGCATATTTTGTATGGCCTCTCGAATTTATAACCATTTACCATTACACATTTTGAGATGTTCCAATATAGATAATTTCAAAATATTATTGAAGCAATTTCTTGTTAATACTATACAATAATAATACTACAGTGTGAAAGAATATCTCGAAGATAAATATGAAATTAAATAATTGACCAATACATGATTCAGTATAACTAAATTGATTTGACTTATATAATATTATCTAAATTGACTTATCGCTATTAATTTTGATTAAGAACTCCAATCAAAACTCCAATTCTAGCTAAAGCATGTTTAAATAATTTAATATAAAACTAATGTGATTAATATTGCATGCCAAATGGCGGAATATAGCTGTACTAAGTGTTTGTTCTCTATAATTCGTAATAAACGATTTGAATTTCAATTTGGGTTCCGGTGGGAGGGTATGTATGGCTTCGGCTGCATTCAGTCGGCACGAATATATATAGCAGCCAAATAAGAAATAATACGTATTAATAAACGCCTAGTCGCATCATGCACATCATGTGATGTATCAGCTTATTGCGTTCTACAATGCTGCTGACAATGCTGAATTTTAAGTGCCATAAAAGAAATAATACGTATTAATAAACGCCTAGTCGCATCATGCACATCATGTGATGTATCAGCTTTTTGCGTTCTACAATGCTGCTGACAATGCTGAATTTTAAGTGCCATATAAGAAATAATACGTATTAATAAACGCCTAGTCGCATCATGCACATCATGTGATGTATCAGCTTTTTGCGTTCTACAATGCTGCTGACAATGCTGAATTTTAAGTGCCATATAAGAAATAAGACGTATTAATAAACGCCTAGTCGCATCATGAAAATCATGTGATGTATCAGCTTATTGCGTTCTACAATGCTGCTGACAATGCTGAATTTTAAGTGCCATATAAGAAATAAGACGTATTAATTAAACGCCTAGTCGCATCATTCACATCATGAAATATATCAGGTTTTTGCGTTCTACAATGCTGCTGACAATGCTGAATTTTAAGTGCCATATAAGAAATAAGATGTATTAATAAACGCCTAGTCGCATCATTCAGATCATGAAATATATCAGCTTTTTGCGTTCTACAATGCTGCTGACAATGCTGAATTTTAAGTGCCATATAAGAAATAAGACGTATTAATAAACGCCTAGTCGCATCACTCAGATCATGATATATATCAGCTTTTTTGCGTTCTACAATGCTGCTGACAATGCTGAATTTTAAGTGCCATATAAGAAATAAGACGTATTAATAAACGCCTAGTCGCATCATGCACATCATGAAATATATCAGGTTTTTGTGTTCTACAATGTGGCTGCTAAAATGCTGAATTTTAAGTGCCATATAAGAAATAAGACGTATTAATAAACGCTTAGTCGCATCATGCACATCATGTGATGTATCATCTTTTTTGCGTTCTACAATGCTGCTGACAATGCTGAATTTTAAGTGCCATATAAGAAATAAGACGTATTAATAAACGCCTAGTCGCATCATGCACATCATGAAATATATCAGCTTTTTGTGTTCTACAATGTGGCTGTAATGCTGAATTTTAAGTGCCATTAATTACAGAATGAACAAATGCAGTGGATTGTCTTTAATACCGCAACATTCAATAGCGTTTTTGCATTGTGGCTAGAAACTTTATCGTAAATGAATTGGACCTTACTAGTCGTTCTGTAATCTGTTAACATTTTCTGTCGTTTTAGTCAACGTATCGTAACGTCATTCCGGCTGAACGACACTCAAAAAACGGCTCAAAAACACTTGCGCTGCAAGCATTACGAAGGCGAGCATTGTAGCTGGGTCTTTTTGAATACTACTGATTCTAAATGCAACGATATGTCGCCTGCTCCCAAACGGCCTCCTGGCATCGGTAGGCATTCGCCTAACGAAATAAATATGCATACTTCTCGCTCGCGCTTACAAATTTCATTCAATAGCGATTGTAGCCTACGCCGCGCCGTTTGAAATAATATCATCTATTTTTAGTTTTACGCAAATGCTGTAGGATGAATTTTATTTATGTATTTTTTAGATATTCGAAAATTTTGTATATCGGATATATTTTGTTATATTTTACAAATACTTTAGAGGGTAGCTTCTATTCCACTTACACAAAATACCATATTATTTTCCCACATATTTAGCTGCCCTATTATAAATTAAAATTATAATATATTAAAATATATTTATATAATTTATTATTTAATATATTATGTATATAAAAAAATATAACATTTAAACAAAAAAAAATTGAATGATCGATCTGTATGACCCGGTATGTAGGGTTTACTTCCACCACTTATAGTTACATAAAAAAGTTGCGGATCAGAATTTCAAAGCCCTTGTGTGTTTGTTTCATGTTAATGTTTCACTTCAATAATATACAAGGTGTAAGTGTAAACACCGTTGTCACTAAAACCATGGGTAATTGGCTTTAATATAAAAATATTTATCTGAATTTTAAAAAAAAACGCTATTTTCTTTTATAAAATTTAAAAAGTTTCTGTCCGACATCGTCCGTAAATTCATGGATACCCTATGCGCCCGAGTGACGTAATCACTTTAAAGATCACCGCCCACGCTGGCTACCTACACAACATTCCAATAAAACACAATAGGTACACATAACCTGTGATGTAACTTTTCCTTCATACTTTCATCCTGGCTTAGGACAGGCAAAAATTGAGGAATTAAGGAAAATAGAGATTTTACTAAAAAAAAATGTTATTTTTCATTTTATTTACGTTCTATAAGTGAAACCAAACCACTGGTTCTAAGGATAACGGTGCTTACACTAACACCCTGTACATGAATTAAACGTCCCTTACCAGGTTCAGGCAACAAAGGTTCCGGAGATAACATCATACGTTCCAGCGGTTCCAGCTCGCGCACTAACGATATACCAGCACGTCGTACCACAGCACACCACCATCCGTTTTCAGCATCGCCTTTCTAAAGGCAAACAATATTATATGCTTACTATACTAGCAATATTTATACATTTGTTTGTAATCGCGTTCTGGAAAACTACTTTAAAGATTTCGATGAAATTTACAATAAAGAGGTTGACATATATAGGGGTTACATCAACCACACCGGAGTGCGCAAGTTTGAATCCTGCCATGTCTGCAGACTTTTTAAAATATTTTTAGAGCATTTAGCGTACGTTTTAACCATGATGTCAAAGCTTCATTCGAAAAATGTTCAATAGGTGTATGCAGTATTTTTACTCTAACAATTTGAATAAAATTTTATTTTAAGATAGGTTGTTTTATTTTCCAAGTTTATCTATTTAAATGTCATCGCTGCGAAAATTATATTTTTTCAAAAGCCGAGGAATATTCGGTATCATCAGTGCTAGAATTAAATTAAACAAGCAAAATTTGTGTTTCATCACATAACATGAATATGAATCTTTTACTGTTCATTACCAATTTTGTAAAAAAGCTAAATTTAAGGAGTTAAGTACTCCTATTAACTATTCTTTACTTTAATTGAACTTACAATTCAGATTATAAGCGGCTGCTGCATCACATGGACATCTGCAACGAACTTTAAATAAAGAAAGAAAAAGATGCGTTGCTACTTCTGAGAGCTAAGATGGATTGTCTCACAGCCTGTACATATACTGGCTCTCTATATCTTTCAGATGAGAACACAGCGGTACACGCACTGTTGCTTGGCGGCGCTATTACTAAATAAGTGGTACACCCACACATGACGGGACTCCCAGGCAGAAAAGAAGTCCTATCATCTAGTAAATTGTTTACTTCCCCACATAAAACTTACATGATGAGCAACCATTAGTCCAAGTGGTTTTTGAAGTCCTTCCATATATTGCAAACACCAACTATATAAGTCTGACCAGCATCTGAAATGAAATTAATATTAAAATGATAGCATTATATATTTAATATGTATAACAAATCTAATTAACTATTTCTGTATTTATTAGCGTAAGTGTTGGCGCCATCTAGTTTATTTTATATAATGCATTTTTTCTAAATTTACCCTCCTTTAAATTCATATTTCGGGCGTTCGTTTCCCCCTCAACCGCACGCCTAGTGTATATATATATATATATATATATATATATATATATATATATATTATATTTTTTATTCTAATACTTAAGCATTTTAAAGTAGTGAAGTTTTGTGTCCGCAAAAGAAAGGAAGAAGCGTTAGCTCGCGACGACCGGAGCGTGGAAGATCTGCGAGAACGGCGGTGATAAGGTAGACGTGCAATTCATTTTAACGAACGCCCTTTCTCTCAACCAGCATTCTTTTACAGTCCAGGATCGAAGACCACAAGCTTTGCTATTTTTTTAATTATCTCTCTCCACAACAGCAAGAGAACATGTTACTCTTATATCATGCGACTGATTTTGTTTGTAACGACACCCAAGGGAAATACCATGAAGATGTAATTGCCGCCGATTACTATATATTATACTAGACTTAAAATACTAACGGCAAAACGGAAAAGTTTCAGGGGGGTATTTGGGGCTACGAAAATCATTACGTCCGACAAGTGTGGTGATAGAAGACTGGTAAGAGAAGCTCATGGCTAGATGTGGACTTTTACGGGCTGGTAAAAAAATTTAATCTGTGGGTAACCGCGGTTAACTATGACATTGGGACGTCGAACACCTCAGTCCCCCTCGTGACCATGGGTGTGCTCGAAACGTCGAGAATATAAGAAAGTTAATATACGCGATAAAATCCGTAAAAACTAGTTTTATTTAAATGTGTAGTGTTCGCGTAAATGTCATCAAGAAACCATTATGGTTAGAAAGATTTTCAAATACGAGTAAAAAGCACTATAAACATTTGCAAAGGTAAATGGTATTGCAACAGATTAAGCCATCGGTCGCAGAGTGATGTAATTCGACTGTAGTAGTGAGTAGTGAGTGGTGAGCAGTCAGTGGTGAGTAGTGAGTGACGAGTAGTGGGGCGGTACTGACTTGTGCATGAGCTGCTTCGAGTTGTCGTGGGCAGCGGTTCGCGCGGCTAGCGTGCGCAGGCGCGACGTCACCGCGGCCGCCGCCGCCTCGCCCAGCTCACCCTCGCCCGCACCCGCGCTCGCCTCGCCGCCGCACCACGTGCGCCGGTAGATCTACAACCGATCACGTTAAAAACGCGCCTGTCAAGCTGGCTCCACACTTGTATCATTTTAGTGAATCCATAGTGTATCAGATCTCCGACGAATGGTATCGACGTTTTTCGATTTTCGCTAGTGTGGACGCAAAATATGTGATCATGTTATACGCCGTAGTTATATAACCGAGTATCTGATACATGTCGTATCGGATACGTGTATCATGATCAACAGAATAATCGTAGTATGGAAGCATTTTGATACGGTTTTTCCCCGATTATCAAAGGGGATACGCAATGCCTGAAAATCAAGCAGCATATACTCGATACGATACGCCTGATTTTGAAATTCATGATGACATAAGTATCATATAAATGCCACCATAAGTGGAACCAGCTTTATGGACTTCCGTAAATACGTTTCCGTTATAACGAGTTTTTTTTTCTCCTTCTGATTGATTGCATTTTTATTCCATGTTTTTTCTTTTTATAGTATTTACAATACAATAATACGATTTACAGCACAATCTTAGTATAACGAATCTCAATATAACGGTTTCCTCGAATTAACAAATTTTAGAAATTTCCTAGAACCGGCAATAAAAGTTAATACAAAATATACCTTTGAATTACGAATAACTTTTGTAAAAACCTTTTTATAACTATTTTTCAATAATTGCAAAACATAAATAGAAAGTATAATTAACCTCTGCACAAAGTATTCTACCAATCATCAATTCAGACACGTTTAATTTATTGTAAGACAATTAAGTAATTCAAATTGTCATAATAAATTGTTTTTTTTTAAGTATTCTTACCTTATTTTAGACCAACCTAACGTCTATATAACAAGCCTGATTGTAGCAAATTACTCGTATAATGAATATTTTCTTATTCCCATTTAGATTTGTTATGAAATGAAATGAAAGAAATGTTATATCAAGGTTGTACGGTATTATTTCATACAATTATAAACTCTCGAAAAACTTTAACAAAACTTCACTTCAACATAATAATACAAAGCAGGTGGAATATTGTGGAAATCTATACTTGAAAATGGCTCAGAGGAGGCAGGTCGCCGAGGAAGTCATAATGTTGTAACTGAATATCAAGGACCTGCTGCCCATGCAGGATGTTGATTTTTATACATTATTAGTTGGTTGGTACCATAAATAAGGGGAGATACGATATTCCATCGTACCAAACATGTTATTCCATCATATGTGATATTCCATACATTTACCAAACAAAGAGAATCAAAACGGTTTTGTTATTGTAAACATAATAAAATGATAGTGTTCATATACACAGCAGCAATGTCAAGAAAAAATCTAAAACTGTAATGTTTTACAATTCAAATATGGTGTTCACATGGTCGATAAAATTGCAAGAAGATGGAGCACAAAAGCAGTTTCTAGAAGATTGCTAGTACAAGTATTTTATAATATTTTATATTTATCTGCAATAAACGAACGCTTTTTAATTTTACCAAAAAATGAACAAGAAAAATACAATTGATGGTCAAACTGAGTAACATTTTAGAAGAACCCACTCCTGAGACCTTACTGTAACATTTTATAGCCTCAGAAATGCCAGCTGCTGAGTTGAGAAAGAGAGTAATTGCTATCAAACTCACTGTAAAAATAAAATCAATAAAGCTTTTTTATGTTGTAATCAACCAAAATCCTTTTCATATAAATGTCATTACTGTTAATATTTTTTATTAAACACCTATTTACACTAGAAACCAAAAATATTTCATTTGCCTTTGAAACAATGAACATTGCCTATTATTTCTAAAATTATACTATACATAATATATGCATAATTAGAGACTAGGTAGCAGCGATGGGTCAAATGACCCTTGACCGCCTTGGTAGGTAGGTGTTTTTCCCATCTTACTAGTGTTAAATGCTATCACTACAAATATTTGTAATGCTTGTTTATATGATAAATAGATTAAAAAAGTTTTTGACTATTTATTTTGGTTGTAAAAATTGTTTTTTTCCTGCATTGATTTATTAATGTTGGTACTAATTACATTTCCGTCCAATGATAATTACGTTTTTATTTGCATGTCGACATTTTAAATCCTGATTACGAATTTACCCTGAGGAAAAGATTTGCACGCATACCACAAGTGCTTTCTTTATAACGGCCGGCGGGAAGAGTCCGGGCGTGAGGAGTCGGTCGCGGTACTGTTGGTGAGAGGACAGCTGCGGCAGCGGCGGCGGAGGCTCACGCCCGGCCACGCACCGCCATGACACCTCCGCTCCCAAACTGCTACCTTCAATTAAACCATTGCAGTGTTAGTATTTACGTACTAGAATAGCTATAGAGCCGTGGTAGCTCAGACGGTTAGCGCTCGCTGTAAATTTCACAGTACGCGAGCAAACCGGGTACGATCCCCGCCGGCACAAATTAAATTGTTAATTGCAATTTTAAGTGCTGATTTACCACGTGCTCGGCGGTGAAGGAAAACATCGTGAGGAAACCCGCATGTCAGAGAAATAAGAAAAAAAAATATTTCGAAGACATGTGAAGTTCGCCAACACGCATTGGGGCAGCGCGGCGGACAATTCCTTGCCCTAAAACCCTCTCAGAAATGAGTTGAGGCCTGTGCCCAGCAGTGGGACGTATATAGGCTTTAACTTTACTTTACTTTACTAGAATAGCTATATCAAACAAAATATGTGAGATGCTCTTTGTTGTACATGTGCTGTTCAATTTTGTCATAATAGATTAACTTCAGTGCACAGCAGACAGGACATACTGATCATTCTACCATTATTACATTACACATACAATTATTATTTTTTTATTAAAAATGTATTCTTAATTATAACAACGTGTTCAATTTGAAATAATGTCAATTTAATATTTATTTGGAATATGTGGAAAATTAATTAGGTATTTAATAATAATGATGACACAATTGCATTGTAATGATATTTTTTTTGGATATTTTAAAAAGTAACTATTTAAAATATGTATGCGTAGATATATGGATGTATAGGAGGCGAAAGAGGTGTCAGGATCGTGCCAAGTGGAAGTTCTTACTCCTTAGTCTCTGCCTACTCCTCTGGGTGATAGGCGTGAGTGTTTTGATATGATAACCTTTTTAAATAGAAGAAATAATCACGTCTAAGTAATATTAACCACGTACATCATTCGCCGTGTAGTTCCATCTCGTGTGTGTTGTAAAAGGCGATAGATGGAAATGAAACACGGGATGGGCAGCAGCATCTACTTGATAACAACTCACATTTTGTATCTCCACTACAAACTTTGCAGACTACGGAGGTAATTGAAATTAATCGATAATCGCTAACGTTGCCATGACTTCCTTTTTTGGGCATAGGCTGCACATTGCCAAGCCACCTAGATTCGATCACAACTCCAGTCTTAAATAAGAAGTGGAACAAATGTGTCAGCACAGGAGACAACTCAGAAGCACAAGCCTTTAGAACTATAGCTCGTATATGATCTGGCCCACTAGCTACAAATGTGTAGGTGTAATAGCTTTTGAGTTATGGGGGCAGGGTATTATGAGTAGATCAAATTGGTACATATCTCCTCTACAAACTTTGCAGACTATGAAGGTAATTGAAATTAATAGATATATGCTAACGTTGCCATGACTTGCTTTTTTGGGCATAGGCTGCACATTGCCAAGCCACCTAGATTCGATCACAATTCCAGTCTTAAATAAGAAGTGGAACAAACGTGTCAGCACAGGAGACAACTCAGAAGCACAAGCCTTTAGAACTATAGCTCGTATATGATCTGGCCCACTAGCCACAAATGTGTAGGTGTAATAGCTTTTGAGTTATGGGGGCAGGGTATCGTGAGTAGATCGAATTGGTACATGTAAATATAAACACTGCCAGAACGTACAACCCTTTCCTTTTTCGGACAAGGTATTATTACTAAAAATGCTTGTGTCAAATTTATAAAAGCTTGTTATAAGGACTTGTTAATAATACAACATTCTGGAAATACAGGGAGCCTAGATTTTTGTTTGTACTACAATAATACATCAAATTAACATATCAATATAGCCACATGTAATGTACTTAAAAAATTATTTAAATTAAATGCAATTTATTTTAGTCCTTACTTGTTATAACAGCTTCACCATCAGGCTGATTCCATAATGCCCAAATAACATGATTACCATCTCCATAACCAATAGTGTAATCCAGTAGGTCCAGCTGAAATGTTTTATATGATTAAACACGCTCATAAAAAACACGCAAATAAAGTTATACACTACTTTATAGTAAGATACCCTAAAATTGGATGAAAAATGGAAAACAATAAATGGAAATTATGTTTATTAGGCCTGGCGATAGTAAACAGTTCTAAAACTGTAAACACGTTATTGAGGACTGATGAATGGAGGGATGTTTATCAATAATAACAAAAAGAAAAATGATGATCTATAATAACTACATATTAAAAAAAAGAATTGTATATATAATTTTTTTACATAAAAATAAAGATATTAAAATGAATAAGGTTAGATCCGCGTAAATAAAATAAAAATAACGTATATTATAAATTTTGAAGAACACCTCATCCCTACCTTTATTATGTGCACTTTCACAGTCACCACTGATCGAGTCTGTGATTGATTGCATGGTTGGAGGGTTAGTTCGCATTTTGCAGCAGTTTGTTATTAATTTTACAGCAAACAGCTGTACATGTCAGGTGAGTCATCACATGTCTCGGTCTATGTACATAAATAGCAAATATTTAAGTGAGGAGCGGTTGCATCAGAGAGTAGTTCTAATGGACTGCGAGCAACTTTTAGCAGTAAGCCTTTGCAGTCTATTTCTGCTAATAATGCCTTAAAGTAGAGGCGAAATACTTGTTATATTATCAATGATGATTTATCTTTTCTAGCATAGTGGTGTTGGCATTAGTAGTGACGGTGACAGTGCATGGAATTGAGGAAGGGAGAGATTTGCTCTTCAAACTAGGTAGGTCAGAATTTTTATTTCCGCGTGGATCTTAAATTATTAATTTTGATATACGTTGTAGAGCCATGCTGCAGTTATATTTAAGTATATGTGGTAGAGCCATGCTGCAATTATATTTGAGTATAGTTGCAGCACGAATGGGTCGCCTCGACCGGGGAAGGACCACACTCTCACTATTTCACTCTGCTGTTTTTCGTATGGTGAGTGTAGAGAACCGGAGACCCTTTTTACTGGAAACGAGGCATTCCACCTTAGTCCTCACAGGTGACAAGGCATCTGTATTTTGATCTGTAATCAAGGATAGATGTAGATGTCAATGGGCCGCAGCAACCACTTACCACCAGGTGGGCTGTGTGCTCGTTTGTCACCCCATCCTATAAAACAAAAAATATATAAATAAATATATACGGTACTTCATTATCATCATTACAGCCCTTCACAAGTCCACTGCTGAACATAGGCCTCCCCCAAGTAATGCTACAAAGCACGGTCCTGAGCCACCTGCATCCATCGACTTCCTGCATGTCTTACCAGGTCGTCACTCCATCTAGTGGGGGGTCGCCCTACACTACGCCTACCGGTACGAGGCTGCCACTCGAGAACCTTTCTTCCCCATCGGTTATCGGTTCTTCGAGCTATATGGCCGGCCCATTGCCACTTCAGCTTACTAATCCGTTGGGCTATGTCGGTCACTCTGGTTTTACTGCGGATATCCTCATTTCTGAGTCTATCACGCAGAGAAACTCCGAGCATAGCCCTCTCCATAGCTCGCTGAGCGACCTTAAGCGTCCTCATACGGCCAGCAGTGAAGGACCACGTCTCAGATTTATAAATATAAATAAATATATACGGTACTTGATTTTAATTATGTTTCCAGTTTAGGAGGCTTGTCAGTTAAGCTTGAACCTTTTCCACTGTTTTTGGATGTCGTAAATGCGTTTTGCATTACGATAAAAACAAATTTACGGTACTTGATTTTTTTTTAATTTTGTTTCCAATTTAGGTTTGTCAGGGTTAAGCTCGAGCCTGTTACACTGTTTTTCGATTTCGAAAATGTCTTTTGAATTAATTACGATAAAAATACATTTGACCAAAAATTGCATATAACGAAACGCAAATACGTCAATTTGTTTTTTTTACATAAATATAAAATTTTATCACTCGGACCCAGATAATCCATTTGTGGCCGAAGACGGGAATCATATACAACAAATAGAGTCGCAGTGAAGAGGTTTTTCAGAAAACAAAATTAAAACTATTCACATTACATTATTTCATTTACCACTATCATAGCAGAGTTTAGGGCAACCTGACTTTAAAGATATCGAATCGGTTCTAAAACCGAATTAGCACGCCCCGACTTCACGTAATCTTGTCTGCCCTACCCCTGGAGTGTTTGTAAAGCCGTAGGCGCGGAGGGAGAGCAGCCCCCCCCCCGCTGTAACAAATCGCAGGTCCCTGAGTGAGCATTGGTGCCTGCGATTTGCTACGCAAAGGCGAAGGGGCTGCACTTGCATCGAAGTGCCTAAGCCGTTGCAGAAGTAACTTTGTGTCAATACTTCTGTGTAAAAAAGTAAGGTTATGATTTTACAAATAAAAATATTACTCATAAACTATACATTTCCGCAAATGGGGAAGGGTAAGGCTTCCCCCTACCCTTCCCCATTTGCGGAATACCTTTCCCTCTCCCCTCCCCCTAACACCACTATACGCGAGTACCGGATGTCTATAGTTTAACCTTTCCTTAAAGTTAAAACAGATTCTATTAATTTTCTTAAAAAATTACCTGAGGACCAAAAATTTGACACACATGAGAGAATTTAATTGCACCGCCGCCTGCATCATGAATTCGCATGACCACAAATTCAGTGTCGTTAGGAAATGAAAGGTATGCTACTAGTATTACACTTCTGTCCGTATTAACAATGCTTTTTAACATATGGCCTTGAGCTGAAAAATAAAATAAATAAAATTCACTGATTATTATTAATTAACACGTGATTAAATCAGACTTACAACTCGATACTTTCAAAGAAAGTCTAAAAAACAAATTATACATATATTTTTTTTGTTTTTAGGGTCCGGTCCTCCGCAGTCAGTTTCATTTACACAATTTCGATCATACAACTTAAATATTAAGTACAAAAATGGAAAAATTTTAAGTTCCTTAGAACAATAGGAAATGAAAAAAGATTATGTCCCCAAACATTACAAATTCTGAAAACTATGATGGTATCAACACTATGTTTCTGAAATTGTTCACATCCTAACATACCTTATTAATTTATGATTTTCTACATGAACATTGCCCAATAAGTTAAAAATATCAATAGTGGATTTACAAGTTGATTATGAATAAGAACAATACATAGGTACATAAATACTTACGCGGTGGCTTCGGTCTCACCGTAGTTTGTGACAGGGGTGAAGACACTGCTGCTGGGGCCCCACCTTCATCTAATGTCCAAGCTCTAAGACATGTGTCACCACATATTGCTACTACCAATCCACTCGTAAGCACGACGCCATATGTTTCTACGCCATCTACATTACTTTTTCCCCTGAAATAAAAAAATTATTAACTAATGTCGGAGTTAGTACGTTATTAACTATTACTGACATCTAGTGGCTAGGAGCAAAACCTACTATCTGTCCTTTTCCAACAACCAACCGGACATCGTTGACGTAACGATACAAGGCTATATATTACCCACCATACTTACTACTTTACTTTCAAAGCAACTCTAGATTTCGCCGGAACTTAAATCGGAATAAACACGCACTATCACCCCATATACCCATTGAGGATGGTCTCCGAAGAGACCGCAGTGCTTATCACGCCTCTGGTTTGGCTCAACTCCAACGACCCAAACGTCCCAGTCCCATCACATACAGGTACACACACACACACACGCACACGCGCACGCGCACGCGCACGCGCACGCACACGCACACGCACACGCACACACACACACACACACACACACACACACACACACACACACACACACACACACACACACACACACACACACACACACACACACACACACACACACACACACACACACACACACACACACACACACACACACACACACACACACACACACACACACACACACCCCCCCTTAAACACTCACACACAAACAAACACACAAAGTGGCGCCGTTGTCGAGATCCAGAAATCACCCAAGCGAAGCAGGGGCGGATAGCTAATTAACAAATAGAAAAGCAATATATTCATTTATATATATATATTACAATGTACTTTACCTCAGTGCCCCCGTAATGCCAGACAAAAATCTTGGAACTGTTGATTCTCTTTTTAAAAGTGTAGTAACAGCAGAACCTGTCACGGGTAATTTAACAAGCAGCAAGCCTCCATCAACACCATGGCCAAACGCAAGAGCGAAAACAGCTTCTCCACTGTCACGGAGCATTGAAGCACATGTGTGTGCAACACCTGTAGCTAAAATAAAAAAAATAAAAGTTACTCATTTTTACAGTAACTTTGAGACATAAATATTATTATTTATTATTAGACAAACATGTAACACCTGACAACTTTGACGCTGATTTTGGATCAAATTTCTGGTAAGATTTCACATCTGATTTACAAGTCTATTTTGTCCTTAATTATATAATTTGTTTTTTATCCCCGAGACTAAAATATTACATTAAATACATACTTTTTTAAATATTTGTAAACCAATACTAGATTTTATTCATAAGGAATGAGTATAATTATTGTAACATGTGAGTAATAAAATGACAGTTGTATCAGACATGAAGTCAGGTGGCATGGCAGTGGTAAGTCATTATCACATGAAAGAAGTGTAACTTAGTTACCACTTCTACAATCAAACACGACACAATCGTGTTTATTTTAGGACAGTAGGACAATCTCGTAGTGCCGGCATAGGGACGGCACTATGTTGAAGTAAATATATTATTAAACGTAATTTAACCTGCAGACCTGCAACAATTAATGCTACATAGTGTGCTATATCTTGAGCCACCAGCATCCATCGACTTCCTGTATTTAACTCTAACCAGGTTGTGACAGTGGGGAGCCGCCCTACACTGTACTTACTGGCACGAGGCTGTATTTCTACTTCACCTTACCGTATCTTATCCATGGGGCTATATCTGATTCTACTGTGGATATCAACATTGTGTATTCTATGATGCAGAGAAAGTCCAAGCATCTCCTCTCCATCACACAACTTCCACATACGGCCAGCAGTGAAGGACCGCATTTCAGATCCATGTGTCAAAATGCACTGGTTGTTAGTTAACTCGTTAACAACGGACTATTTTCCGTTTGCCGTTTGCGTAGGCCAATAAAGTTAATGAAAATATTTTTTTTGTTTTTACTATCCCAAAGACTCCACTAGGTTATTAGGATTATAATTTATCGTTTTTAATGAGGTAGATAGATATCTACACATATTATACCTAAACAAATTAATCACATTTGTTGAATTGCTTGGGCAATAATTTAGCGAATATTGTTATTTCAAAATAAACATTGTTAATATTGATAGTGATATATTTAAACATGTGCTAGATTGTACATGAATGCTTTCAATTAGATTATAAAAAAAAAAACTTTATATTACATTTAAAATTTTCTATTCAATTAAGAGTGGTGGCAGGCCTGTTGCTGTTGTACACCTTGTTTAATTTTAATGTTGGGAACTGAAGCGAGTACCTACTGGAAAACTTGTGCAAAGCCGTGATAATCCCAATATGGAATAGGGTCAGTAGGCCCAGTAGGGTCTCAGCAGGACTGTAAAAACTTCCGTGGTCTCAATCTGCTTAGCATTGTGGGTAACCAGCATTCTAAAGTTTTAATTGAAAGATCTGATGGAAAAATTTGGGATGTGCAAGCTGTATTTACTATTTAGAGAGGGAATGGGGTGTACTGCTCGAAATCTTTTCCATGCGCATCATCGTGGACATGGTTCATGAACTTTGGAAAGGCTTATAACAGAGTGGACAGGAACAAAGCGCTGATTTGATACAGGAATTAAAGTCTCTTTATAGAGACTCTAGTGCTCGTGTCAGGATCAACAGGGCCTACTCGGACTGCTTTGGGATTTATAAAGGTCTCAGGCAGGGCTGTGTAGCTTTCTGCGGCTGTTCAACCTATAACAGTTGTTTGGCCGCAGAAGAACACAAAAACTCTCCGATCACACTCTTAATCTCATGGCAGTTAGATGGGAGCTGAAGCTGCAGTTGTCAACAGATTGACAGCATACAGGCAACTGAACTGACAGATCTCCAAATGCATGCGACGAGACTAACGCAACTTTAATAGTGCGCGTATTGAAGAAGCGATCGAGCGGAACTAAGGCTTCAGTCTTTACCAGAGATCTGTCTGCCAGGAAGAGCTAACTGTCGAAGCTGAAGACTGAGTGTGGCAGCATCGTTTCTGGACACCTGAGATTTTGAGTGAGATTGAGAGGTTCTATGGGCAGCATCGCAGGAATCACACGCCAAGTGTGAGTAATGATCCAAGAGCAAATCTTATCGTGAGATTAGAATGGCTCTCCATCACCTTAAAAACGGCAAGCTCCAGGCGAGGATGGAATTACAACGGAGCTTCTGAAAGCGGGCGAAAAACCGGTACTTAAAGTCCTTCAGAAACTCTTCAATTCCGTCCTCCATGGTGGAACTACTCCGGAGGTGAGGAGCAGAAATGCGGTGGTCTTGTTCTTAAAGAAAGGTGACAACGCTCTCTTAAAGAACTACAGACCGGTTTCCCTTCTGAGCCGCGCTTACGTGCTGTTTTCGAGAATCATTATGAATCGTCTCGCACGCAAAATCGATGACTTCCAGCCTCCATACACAGACCACATACATACCCTGCGGCAGATCGTACAGAAGACCGAGGAGTACACTTTGCCTTGCGTATGTATGACTATGAAAAAGCCTTTGATTCCGACGAAATTCGGGCGGTGCTACAGTCCCTTCAGCCATGCCAATGCCAAGTTGATTGTCGGTATATCGAAGTGCTGAAGTGTTTTTGTACAGAACCAGAGTACTAATCTTATCCAACTGCAGAGATGTAAGACAGGGTGACGTTATATCTCCGAAACTCTTCACTGCTGCATTGGATGACATTTTTAAGCTACTGGACTGGACAGGATACGGTATTAACGTCAATGGTGACATCACTCACCTTCGATTTGCCGACGGTATAGTTCTCATGGCGGAATCGCTGGAGGACCTGAGCACTATACTCAATGACCTCAATAATGTCGCCCATCAGATAGGTCTTAAGATGAAGATGGACAAAACAAAGATCATGTTTAATGTCCATGTCACACCTATGCCAGTAGTTGTTGGGAGCACTAAGCTCGAAGTTGTTGACGAGTACGTTTACCTGGGACAAATAGTCCGACTAGGTAAGTCCTACTTCGATCGAGAGGTCAATCGACGGATTCAACTCGGCTGGGCAGCGTTCGGGAGACTACGAAACATCTTCTCATCAGGTATACCTCAAAACCTGAAAACTAGATTGTACAACTAGTGCATGTTGCCAGTAATGACCTATGGATATGAGACGTGGTCCTTCACTGCTGGCCGTATGAGGACTCTCAAGGTTGCTCAGCGAGCTATGGAAGGGACTATGCTCGGAGTTTCTCTGCGTGATCAACTTATAAATGAGGATATTCGCAGTAGACCCAGAGAGACCGACATAGCCCAACAGATTAGTAAGCTGAAGTGGAAATGGCCCTCTATATACCTCGAAGAACCGACAACCGATGAGGAAAAAAGGTTCTCGATTAGCAGCCTCGTACCGGTAGGCGTAGTGTAGGGCGACCCCCCCCACTAGATGGAGTGATGACCTGGTAAGACAATGCAGGAAGTAGATGGATGCAGATGGTTCAGGATTGTGCTTTGTGGCATTTCTTGGGGGAGGCCTATGTTCAGCAATGGACTAGTGATGATGATGAGTTATTTGGAAACTTTAAGTTTAAGAATGGATGATTGAAGAAGTATCAAGTCATATTTGAAGCATCAAATTTTTGCAAATGATGGCTACATTAATGAACAGGTAATTAAAAGAAAGGGGAATGAAAGTAAACGAAAGTTATGGTTTTTGATAAAGAAGAAAGTCAAACTATATGTTGAGCAAGTCAATGAGTTTGTGTACTAGGCATGTGTATTTAGTGGGGATGATAGATATGATAAGGATATACAACGACATGAACGAAGGAATTAGAGTAAATGGGACTCTACACTCTATGGTGGGAAGTCAAAAAGTGCGAAAAAAGACACACATAGTGATTCACAATGCTGTGTTAGTCCCTACTTAAATGTATGGTAGTGAAAGTTGGGTGTGACAGAAGAAGCACGAGAAATGCGGCCCTTAAGGAGTATGTTAGGGCTGAATCTGAATGACAGGATAAGAAATTGTGTAATTATTATTTATTTCATTATTCAGGTAAATACACCCATTCTGTTAGTACACTTAAAACTTAAAAACTAGAGGTTAGTAAATTCACAGAATCCATAAATTATTAGAAACAAACACATTGGGTAAACATATTGGGTCTGGAACCCATATGCACTGTGTTCTAGTACCTCATCACAGGGCAATCTTGCCTTCTATATATGGAAGTTAGGAGGCCGTTGGTGCTGTCTTCCACGCGACGCATCAAGGCTATTCTTTTGCGTAATATTACTGCAAAACTGTCCACGCGTGCCTCAGAAAACATACCTGATGCGCTGAAAAAACGTGGCAGCCCCAACAACATCCTGAATCCATTGTTGTACTGAACATGTAGTGCATTAAGAATTCGGCGAGTACACTTCGTCCACAGGCTGCAGGTGTAGAATGTCTGACAGTAAGCTTTGAATAATGTTATTTTAACTTCATTTATACACCTAGCAAACCTGCGGGTAAGCATATTACACCTCATTGCCAACGCTCTACGTTCCCGTTCAACATCTAAATTGTCAGAAAGATCCTCGGCGATCCAGTGTCCCAGATATCTGAATTTGGTGACTCTACTCAGTGTAACTCCTCCAAATTTAACATGAGGAACAGACTTAGGTTTTCTATTTCCAGCCTTAAACATGAGTAGTACGCTCTTATTAGATTTATATTTGAGACCATGAGCCGCCGCGTACCCTTCACAGATGCCCACTAGCATTTCGAGGGCCCTGATCGAAGGACTCAACAAAACCATGTCATCGGCATAGCTTATATTATTAACAAAATGACCGCCAATTGAGCAGCTGACTCTGGCATTACAGAGCTTCACGATCAGACTGTTGATATACAGGTTGAAAAGTTGAGGGGAGCTAAGGCCGCCCTGCCTCACCCCGCACTCCAATCTGTACTCCGACAAATGACTCCAACGACTGCCTCATTGGTCTAGTGATTGCAGTAGTGTGACTGCTGATCATGAGGTCCTGGGTTCAAATCCCGGGTCGGGCCAAAAAATTAATTAT